GCAGCACCTCCGTCAAGTGACTTGCAATACAAGGTACACGAATAGTATTTAAAGAGGTGCATGAGTGAGTTCATGAACAAATGCAATAAAATTACAGTGTGAGGACCAGGCCCCATCCGAAAGACTGAACAACTCATGATAGACAACTCCTTCTGAAACTAAACGTGGCCAGGGCCATACATTCCAAAGCAGAAAGCCAAACAAACCTCCGATTTTGACGGTAAAATCGTGGGCGACCATGCAGTTTCGAGCTGCGAGGTCCCGGTGCACAAACTTCTTGGCATTCAGGTATGCCATCCCGTCGGCGATCTCTGCTGCCATCTGAATCATCTCTTGCAGGGTCGGGGGAGGGCGGCCGGGATTATTCTAAAGTCAAAATAGGGGGTTGTGTTCAGTGAGACTGGGCCATGCGGCCAAAAGAGGGTGCCCTGCGGGGTACCCAGGGGCAGCTCACCTCAGCTTCAGGCCGCAGGGAACGGAGGTAGCTCTTCAGGTCTCCATGAGCCATCAACTCCATCACCACCAGTGTTGGCTGCCCTTTGGACACCACCCCCAGGAGGCGGACCTGCAGAGCAAGCATTGGGGGTGATTCCTGGATAAGGGTCTGTGGGACCCTCACAGGTCTTCCTGTCTGGGTGTTGCACACAACACCCTGCTCCTGGATGCTGTGTGGGGAAACCCTGGTCTGTCTGGCTCAAATGCCAAGGTCAACACCCTGGTGGTGGGAGGGGAGTGGGGTGAGCAAGACAGGAGATTTCAGGACTCGGTCTGGTGGATGGGGGTACAGACACACCTGTCCACACACAGCACCATCCAAGGCAAATCCGTGGGTATTTCCTGATGTCTCTGAGCACACACGGCACGTTCCCATCTCCAGACCTTTGCATTAGCTGTTCCCTCTTCCTGACCCTCACGTGTCCACACAGCTCAGTCCCTACACCCTTTACGTCTTTGCTGAAATATACCTTCCCCACTCTTGAATGTGCTGCATTACAGAGATGAAAGCAGGGCTTAGCACTGAGCAGGTGCTCCATTAGTGTGTGTGTGTGTGTGGGGGGGTGCTATGGATGAAGGACACAGGCTCAAGGAAAACTCGGGGACACTGTGGGAGCAGAAGGCCAGGAAGTCTGTGTTGACTTGGGGGGCGGTGCGGGGAAGAGATGCACCACTGTGTGTTTAAGGGTTACAAAAGAGTCAGGAAGAGGATGAGACCAAAGACTCCAGGAAACACTGGGACGACAAGGATGGAACTGAAGAATAGAGACGGCAGAGACCCTCCTCCCACCTTTAGGGTGTTTAGCAGGGTGGGGGCTGGGCAAGGGTTCCACACCCACTGTCCTCTGTGCAGTAGGAGGAAGAACGGTGGAGTGGGACAAGGGAACCCACATGAAAGTGATCATGGAAAACAATAAAAAGGAACAAGCATTGCTAAGAGGCCCACTTAAAATACAGTGGGGAGGCTATTCCAGAAGTCGGGCCTCTGCACGTCTTACACCTCAGTTCTCAGAGCTGCTCTTAAGTTGCTAACCTGTTGCGAAACTCAGCTCAAGGCGGAGGCATAAACATCCTGGAACAACTGCTGCTGAGTAGACACCTTTGGACTTGACCTTCTCCTTGTAGTTTTCGCCCTCCCTCATTTGCATATTGGTACTAACTAAGCCCTGTTAACCTAGGGAGCAACCCTTCATTTGCAGGAAAGAATCACACTTTGTGGGTTTTGCCTTTACAAACCTGCCTTTCTTTGTTCTCTCTGGAGCACAGTGTAGTTGCTACCTGAATCTGAGTCTCCTGGGCTGCAACTTTTTGCTCACATAAATGCCTTCTGCTCTTTATTACAGCCTGAACCTTGGCTTTGGTTAGCAAAAGCAGCCTCTGACTGCTCCCGGGGCAAGCGCGGGACTTACCACATGATGGCAGGTGAAGCCCTTCATGACCGAGGCCTCGTTGAGAAACTCAATCCGCTCACGCAGACTGGCCGACTCGTTGACTGTCTTCACTGCCACGCGGGTCTCTGCCTCGCCCTTGACGATGTCCCTGGCGTTGCCCTCATACACCATGCCGAAGGAGCCCTGGCCCAGCTCTCGCAGGAGGGCGATCTTCTCCTGGGGCACCTCCCACTTGTCTGGCACATACACAGAACAGGGAACACTACTCCTCACTTATCCACACAGCATCCTCGGGGGATCCCCAGCCGCCTCCCACCCAAGTCCCCTGCAAATCTTCATTAAGTGACTTCTAGGAGCCAGGACATGTGCCAGGCACATAGCTGAGAACAGGACAGGAGTGGGTTCCTGCCCTCATAGAGAGGATGGCAGAGGCTCGGGAAGGAGCCACACAGGTCCAGGGCCTTGGTGGGTAAGTGCCAAGCTGAGCCTGCACCCCATCTTTCCTGTCTGACTCAGAGCCCTGCTGCCTAATGACACTGCTTCCCATCGAAGGCTATTGTTTCTGCAAAGTGCCACGGGAATGGTGGACCACCCGGCCTGTGAACCACTGGACAGGTGAGTGAGCTGATTCATGACCACCTAGCATCAGCTGATCCATAGGTGGTCGCAGCCACGTGGGTGAGACCAGAACTGCCCAGCTGAGCACAGCCCAGGGAGTGGACCTACCAAACTGTGAACTAATTAATGGTGGTTATTTTAAGCCACTCAGTTTGGGGTGTTTTGTTATGCAGCAAATGACTCTCAAATGCACAAAGCCCTTATAAGAAAAGCTGAAATGGTTCATGCTTTCTTTCCTCTGTGCTCCACTGTTATGGAGCAAACTGTGTCCCCCCCAAATTCATATGTTGAAATCCTAACCATAGTACCTCAGAATGTGACTGTATTTGGAGAGAGGGACTTTGAAGAGATAATCAAGTAAAAATGAGGTCATTCGGGTGGGCCCTAATCCAATATGACTGATGTACTTATAAAAAGAGAAGATTAGGACACAGACATGCACAGAGAGAAGACCACGTGAGGACACAGGGAGAAGACTGCATCTACAGACCAAGGAGAGAGGCCTCAGAAGAAACTGATCCTGCCATCACCCTGACCTTGCACTTTCAGCCTCTAGGACTGTGAAAAAGTAAAATTCTGTTTTCTAAGCCAAGCAGTGTCGGTACGTGGTTACAGCAGCCCTAGCCAACTCATACAGTCACCAGTGGCTCATCCAAGGACACTGGTCACAGAGCACTGCACACACATGAACTCGCAGATGCTCACTAGGGGCGCCCTGCCCCCAGGGTCCTGAGTCTGGATCTTCCCCTGTGTGTATCCCTTGGCTCAGGCCTTCCCGACCTCGAAGACCCTTGAGCCCCCATTTCCAGCTCTGACTGAGCACCCTTGTGCCCTCAACCTTTGCTGCATTCCCAGAGGGAAGCAGAATGTGGGGAGGAGAGGCAGCCCTGAGCAGCGTCCTGGCCTTGCCCCGACTGGGGCCCAACGGCAGCCCTGAGGGTCAGCTTCCCCATCTCTGATGTGCGGTAACAACACCATGTCCAAACAGGGAAAGGAGGCTCCTTGTCAACGTTCATTCCCTCCACACATTCCCATCTGTAATAACCACCTTTTCTAGTTTCTCCATTCTGAGGCTCTGACACTGGGGTCTCCGCTTACCCAGGAAGGACTGACCCCTCCCCCCAGGGGTAGCCAGTTCCCAGAGATGGCAAAGACTCACCTACAAGTGCACCTTTCATATGCAAACCATCCAACCCACAGCCCACACCCCAACTACCTCCTCTATCAGGCTTTCACACTCAGGGCCACTGTCCCCCTGCCCTGATCACTCCAGGGCCAGGTGCCAAACAACTAGGGCCAGCCCCTATACCCCAGAGCCCTCTGAAATTATTTGAACCTGCCAATCCTAAGCCTCACCCTGCCCTGCCCTGCCCTGCCTTCCCCGTGAAAACCATAAAAAAGGCTCTCGCCTGCACTCCCCCCTCTCTCTGTCTCCTAACCAACCCCAGTGCTTCCCCCAGTGGCTCTACGTGGCATGTGCCTCCTGCTTCTAGGGAATGTGAGGTCAAACGTCTTTTTTCATGACAGCCATTTCCATGTCTGTGTGTCTTATCAGACCTGATTAAAACAAATCCTGAGTACGCCTAACATACCACCCCTGTATCCCAAGCCAGCATCCTGCCAGGCAATGGTGCTCATGCCTTGAAAGTTGCTTTTTTTATTTTTACTGCATGAAGCATTTTAGAAACTTGTAATGCAACAGATGCCTTTCCCTAGGAAGGAACAGCTAGCCCTTCCTACAGGGGTCACTCACTACCCTTTGGTACAATCAAGGGAAACGCAGGTGTCGAGCCTACACTCCCACCACCAGCATCAGTACCACATCCAGGGTCAGCTGCCACCAACAGCAGATGTGTCCCTGGCACCCACGTAGTCTCTGTCCATCCCATCTTGTCTCTGCTTCTTGTCTCCCTTGCCCTACCCACAGTCTCCCATTGTGGCTTCCAATTCCCACCGCCCAGCTTGGACAGCAAGTTCAGACACAGCTTTCTGGCTCTGACCCTCGGCACTCGCTCTGGCACAGGCCCCGGGCTCCATACTCTCAGAGCCAGGTCACCAAGCTCTCGGGCTCCGAGCCCAGCCCACGGGTCCCAGACCAGCTAGATCAACCCATCCAAACAGGTGCAAGACAGCAGGTGTCTAACTGTTCCCAGTTGTGGGATTTCTGCAACAAGGGGCAGGTCCTCAGCTCCGATGAACACGAGGGCTCATGTCCGCCTCTTGGGGTGTCAACTCTTGACTTTCACTGGACAGTGATGGCACAGGGTTCTGGCCACCCACAGAGAAAAGGGCAGTACTCACCATCGCTGGCACTGAGGTACTCAGGGTTTGAAGAAGCATACAGCGGTCCCAGCGGCCCATCCGGCTGCCTGGAAGAGAAAAAGGGAGGCATTCCAGCTTGTCAGTCTCGCAGGACTTCATGGGTCCCTATAGGCGGCCACAGGCTTCCCCCCTGCAAATGAGAACCCCTATCAGCAGCAGCCCCATACCGGTGCTGCTCTGGAGCCATCTACTCCCAGCTCATGAGAAACAACTTTTCAGGAAACTTAGGAGCCAGTTGTTAAATACAACCATCATTCAAAAATAAATTATATAGGCTTACAATTAAATAAATTATATTAAAGCAAAGGTAATGATATTCAAAACGCACCACTTCCTAATTATCGTACTACAACTTCCTACGATCAGCGCTCTTGAGGTTATCTACGTTACCGCATTTATTTATATTATTGTATCCACCAGATGGTGAGCCGCTCTGTGCTCAGTGACCACATCAGTAGCTTGACATTGGCCACAGTGGGAATATTTATCCCACAGAAATAGGCAAACACTACAAACCATCACTTAATTTCTTGTTCTGTTGTTTGTCCAGGCTTGAGAAAGTTATGGACAAAATGTTAATAATGCAGATTAAACTTAACTGTGTGTCATCTCTAGAGCCATGATGTTGCAAATGGCATAAAACAGTGAAAAAATGTGAAGTATTTAAGAATTATTATCTGATTCCACAAAGCCACTCCTATGATTGATGAATATACATGTCTTATTTCATTTTTGTACTACTCTTTAATGCAAACAAAATATCAGTCAACACTCATGAACCCTCGTTCATCAACTGCAATTATAGGTTGGTTGTAGATACAAAGGTTCAGGGAAAAAAGTTGAGGAAAGCATTTAGTGACAATGGCTAGAGGGAATTTACGATCAAGAGTATGTATGTTGTATTACAATCATTATGTGTAAATTGCACGCTACGCATCCTTTATATAAGTAAAGTTTATAATCAACTTAGAGATAGCTGTATCTATATCTATATCTAGGCATACTTCTTCCTGGAGAGCTGGGTGTTAACCATTACCAGTACACCACTGCACTCACCTCTTTCTCAGGAATAGATAAATACTTCCAATCACAACACTGAAGAGGAAGACAAAGATGAGGGGGCCAATGATAATTTTTGCAATATTCGATGGGACGTCCACTGAAATAGAATAAAAAAATGTATGTCTTGTATCAAAATGTGTTCACACCACAAACCACATCTAATGTTGGGCCACATACATTTCTCCCCCATCTCTTGTCCCTGAGCCTCTCTCTGCTGCTTTCCCGAGCCCTTATCTCCCAGCATTCCTGAAACACCATTTGGCTCCATGGGGCTGGGTGGTGGGCTCAGAGGTCTGTACTCAGGAAGCACACCCCCGACCTCCAGACCACTGCCCGCAGCCAGCCTGGGGACAGCTTCATAGCCAGGCAACCCAGGACATCACCCAGGGCCCACACTCAGAAGGGCCCTGCTCTGGGTTTAATGTTCCACTGTCACCATCTTGAAAGTCTGAATTTTTAAACAAGAACCTTGCATTTTCATTTTATACTGAGCCCTGCAAATTAAATAGCCTATCTTAATTCCAAACAGCACCTCTGGCAGATGAAAAATTCACCAGGAAGTGCCCTGTGTGTCCTAGAGGGTCCTGCCCCTCCTCATGGGACAGCTGGTCCATGAAACTTGCCGGTTTTCCTGTTCCCTGGAAGAGTACCAGGCAAAATAAAGGAAAGTGCATGTCCCTCAAAAGAACCCCTTTTCAGCTAGCTAAAGAAACGCAGCTTTTATTTTTTAAATTCTCATGCAAGGCCGAGTTGTCTGTAATTATCAACACACCCATGTATTCAGGTGCAAGCCAAGGAAGAAAATGGGTTCTGAGAGCTCAGAGAACAGATCTGGGCCTCTGGGTCTTTTAATCATAGCAGTATAGCAAACACTTACTAAACTAAATGCGTCACTGTTTGAAGTGCTTTGTGCGAGGGATCTTACTTAATCGTCCCATAGGCCAAGGTGGGAGATACTTTGTCTAATGCCAGCTAACAGACTGAAAAGCAGAGTCTCAAGGAGGGGAGGAGTCTTGCCCAAAGTCCCAGAACTTATTCACGATGCAGCATGCATTTGAACCCGGGCCATCTGAGTGAGCTCTGACCACTGCACCATGCTGCCATTGGTGGCCAGCTCTATCCTGAGAAATCTCGTCCTCCTGTACTGCCCTGACTAAGAGCAAACTGTCTCCGGTGGGGGACAGCCTGAGAACCTCCTTAAACACTGCACCCTGGTGCCTTGCTTCCCTCTCTGTTATATAACAAATTTTTTTTTAAGTACAGCTGACCCTTGAACAACACAGGTTTGAATTGCGTGGGTCCATTTACACGTGGATTGTTTTCAATAAATACATACAATACTGTAAATGCATCTTGTCTTCCTTATGTTTTTCTTAACATTTTCTTCTCTCTACCTTACCCCTCCATTGGGCGCAACTGATCGCACAGATTCATTGCACACAAAGATGCCGCTATGAAATACGTCTTTACTGTACTAAGTCACAAACACAACTGGTGATAGGTTATGGTACAGGGGGAAGATACAGAAGCGATGAGTCACGATACTTAAATTAACCGTTAGATATTTGAAAATTTGTGTGCAATGAATCTGTGAGATCAGTTGCCCCCAACGGCGGTGTAAGTTATTTTTAAGAACATAGTATATAATATACATAACATACAAAATATGTGTTACTCTACTGTTTATGTTATTGGTAAGGCTTCCACTCAACAGCAGGCTATTGGTAGTTAAGTTTTGAAGTGTCAACAGTTATGTGATGATTTTCAACTGTGCAGGGATCGGTACCTTTAACCCCTGTGTTGTTCAAGGGTTGACGTAAACTAATGTGTCAAACATTTAACTCTCAAGATTTTTGGCTATTGTAATTCTTTGCAAGATTTCCTTGAACATGTATCTTATTTAAACAGGTTTCCTTGAACATGTATCTTATTTAAACATCTCTGATTGTTTCCTTATGATACATTTCTAGAACCAGGACTGTTGGCTCACATAAGATTTTTGATGCACATTACTAAAGTACTACATTTTAGCACTCACCAACCATGAAAAAACAGGTCTGTGTGTCTGCACACTTGGACAACACTAAGTACTGTGATTATAAAAAAAAAATACCTTGCCAATTTGATAAGTTGAAAATTACATCTTGTTTTAATTTGCATTTTTTTCTTTTTTGGTGTGGTTTTGTGTGAGGTTTCACATTGTTTTTCTTTTTTTTTTTTTAAAGATTATTATTGGGGAATTGGGGGATGGGAACAGTGCTGGGGAATTGGGGGAAGGGGAACAGACAAGTTGCTGTCGTTTTGTTCTTCAATCTAGTTGTGGAGGACGTTGCTTCACTGGCCCAAGTTGGCACCATCATTGTGCTCTTCCCGGGTGAGGCAGATCAGTCACCGGCTTCAGGACGGCCGTTCACTGCGGCTGCTGGCCGCTCACGCTGGCTGCTGGCTACACACGGTAGCCCATGGCAACCCACTGCAGCAGGGGTTACAGCCTACGCCGTCGCCGGCGACTCATGGCAGCCCAGCTCCAAGTTGAGCTGTTGTTCAGCATCTTAGCTGTAGAGGGTAGTGTCACTGGCCCTCATATGTGGGATCCGAACCGGGGCCCTCTGGTGTCCCAAGCCAGCTCTTAACCAATGCGCCACTGGGCCGGCCCAACATTTTTTTTCTGATGTTTTCTATTGTTTTGTATTTCTTTTTAAATGTGCTATTTATGTTCTTTGCTTATGTTTTATGTTAGGACATATGTCTTTTACTCATTAATATATACAATTGACCCTTGAACAACACAGGGTTAAGGTGTGCCAATCCCTGCACAGTCGAAAATTTGCCTATAACTTTTGACTCTCCCAAAACTTAACTATTAATAACCTACTGTGGATTGGAAGCCTTACTGAAAACATAAAAAGTCGATGAACACATATTTTGTGTGTTCTATTGGGTTGTCGGAAAAGTCATGACGTATTTTTTCTATGTTTTTCATTGCAACAATATGTCATGACTTTTCCGACAACCCAATATGTATTATATACTATATTCTTCCAATAAAGTAAGCTAAAGAAAAGAAAATGTTATTAAGAAAATCATAAGGAACAGAAGATGCATTTACAGTATTTATTGAAAAAAAATCTGCATATAAGTGGACCCGTGAAGTTCAAACCCATGTTGTTCAAGGGTCAACCATATATTCATTTTGTATTAAGAATATTAAATCTTTGTCAATGATGTTACAAATATTTTTCCCACTTTGATTATTTTTCTTTGAATTTCATTCATGGTGTCCCTGGTTCTTAAGAAAGAGACTCCAAATCTCTCTTGGATATCCTGAGTAATTGCAGTGTCTTTGTTATTGATGACTCTCTTGTAACACACCTAAGTTTATGCTAACAGGTGAGATGACTCGGGATGGGGTCTGGTCACCAGAAGAGCAAGCATGTGATTGGAGGGGTGGGACTTTCAGCCACCTGACCCCCAAATATTGGAGCAGGGCTGGAGATGGAGTTCAATCACATGGCCAATGATTCAATCAGTCACACCGAGGTAATGAAACCCCAATAAAAACTCTGACACCAAAGCTCAGAGGAGTTTCCTGGCTTATCAATACATCCATATGCCGGGAGGGTGACATGAGGTGTCCTGATTCACTGGGGAGAAGACACGGGAGCCCTCCTGGCCCTTGTCTTATGCATCTCTTCATTTGGGTGGTCCTGGGTTATATCCTTTATAATAAAACTGTCCTTGTAATTATAGCACTTTCCTCAATTCTATGAGCTGTTCTAGCAAATGATAGAATCTGAAGGAGTTGTGGGAACACTCAAATTTGTAGCCAGTTGGTCAGACGTGCAGGAGAACCCCGAAACTTGCATCTGGCATCTATCTGAGAGCAGTCTTGTTGGGAACTGTGCTCTTACCCTTCTGGGGTTCTGTGCTAACGCCAGTGGGCAGCGTCAGAATTGTAGTGTGGTACACCCAGATGGTGTCGGAACTCTTATCCTAGTCCTGACCCTGACCAGAACCATCCCAACAAGAATCTCTCCCAATTTCTACACTCCCACTGGGGCCAGGTATGTTAAAATCCAGCCAGCCACGCAGAATCCCTACCTCTCCCACAACCTCCTGCTTCTCCAAGTGTAGAATCTCCCTCTGTCCAAGTTTATTCACTCATTCTAGTGTCTGGGCTCCTGCCACATGCCAGACTAAATATCCTCTTTTGCCCCCACTTGTATATTCTTCCAATTCTCAGCCAAGATGCCACCACCTCCAGGAAGCTCTCCCTGACCAGCTCAGCCTTCCCCACCTCTCTACCTTCCCTACTGTCCACAGTGTGTCCAGCTGGCCCAGTGGTGGCACTTATTGCCTGGACATCGAGAACACACCCACGGATGAGTAGGGAAGCTCCCTCCATTGGAGGACATGGCCCATCTAATAACACAGATTGAAACACTAGTTCACAAGAGCTGATGTGTTCACAGGTTTGTCCTGTGCCAGCCACTTGAAGTTCATACTGTCATTGAAACCACCCTTCACCTCCAGAGGTGGTCCTATTATTATCCCCATTAACAGATAAGGAAGTGCAAGCTCAGAGAGGGCAAGCACCTTGCCCTGGTCACACAGCAGCAGCCAGTGGATCCAGAGGTCAAGTCCAGAGCCGGCACCTATAGCCTCCAACCTTCCCTGACCATCCTCTGAAATGTTGTGCCGTTCCCAGCACCGAGCACAGACCCAGCCAGTCCAAGTCACTGTGCACACTTACAATAGTCTGTCACATAGAAATAGGTGGCTTCTGTCCAGGAGCCGTTGCCCGCCAGGGAGGTGGCCCGGACTCGAACGCTGTAATTCCCCGGAGGCAGCCCGCGCAGCCTGCAGCCCCGCTCCAGAGCGAAATGCTTGCGGGAGACACAGAGGTGCAGCTCCTACAAGACAAGGGGAGGAGAGAGAGGAGTGGGGGCTGCGCCTCGGACATTCGGGAGCATCCATCCCAGGAGGGAATGTCACAGGCAGGATCCGCTCAGAAATGACACAGGGAGGAGAGGAGGCACAGGGTGCGACATGCAAGCGACTTTGAGACTTTCGGAACTTTAGAACCGAAGCTCTACAGGCAAGGAAACAGAAGCAGAGGTTACCATGATTGAGAACAGCCCATCTTTCTAAACCAAAGGCCAAGCATTTGACCTGGATCACTTCATTTAATCCTTACAACAACCCCGTGTCTTGGTTTCTCCTTAGAGAGGAGGAAACTGAGGCTTAGGGTGGAGTCAGCGAACTTTTGCTGTAAAAAGCCAGATAATAAATATTTTCAGCTTCAAGGGGCCAGACAGTCACAGTCACCAGCACAACCTGCCGTCAAAAGCAGTAAAAGCAGCCAGAGACAAATCCCAAGTCATAACAACTATAAAAGAACAGGCATGGCTGTGTGTCCACGAAATACTGTGGACACTGAAAGTTGAACTTCACGTAATTTACACGTCATGCAATACTATTCTTCTTTCCATTTTTTTCCCAACCATTTTAAGATGTGAAAGTGATTGTTAGTCCACATGCTGTACAAAATCAGGCATACAAAAATAGTTTGCCGCCGGCCGAGTGGCTCAGTTGGTTAAGAGCTCACTCAAGAGTTTGAGCTCTGAGCAACAGCGGTTCGAGTCCCGGCCTGAGCTGAGCAGCCGCTGAGCTGCCAACAGGTGGCAGGATGGCTCAGCTTAAAAATAAAAAATAAATTAAAAAAAAATAGTTTGCCAACCCCTGGCTGAGGATGCAAAATGATTAGTGGGAGGTCCCATAGCTGGTGACTGGCAGGGCCTGCCTTTGACCCCAGAACCGTCTGGCTCCAAAACTTCTTGCAACCACTGTGGGATATTTTCACCAGGCCTCCAGAAAGTCCCAAAATGGCAGGAAAAAAGGGATCCACATCACCTAAATCTCATTCCAGGCTGTTCTCCTACACCTCCTGGCCTCTGCCTCCTCAGAACCAGACCCATGGGCTTAATGTCTTAAGGACAAATTTAAAATCTCCTTCCTTCCCATGGTGTCTTTTGGTTTCACTTGAAAAGAGCTGGGATCTACCTAAATGTCTGATAAAAGAGAGGAGGTAAGCATACACACCCTGGCAAAACACACATTGAGATCGACCCAGAGCTTGTAAAGAAAGGCAGGAGGCTCACTGGGAAATAAGACCATGAAACCTGAAAGCCCTGGGCCAAATTTTGAAAACTTTCTGAAACAGCTCCAAGCTCACAGTGCATGCAGAGATCTGGCCTGGAAAATTTTAGAGAGAGAGCAAGAAATGTGAAAGCTCCCGTGCTTATCATGTGACAACAGCAGCCAGAAAACAAATTGGCTGGAGGCGGGGGTGGGGATTTCTAGTCCAAAGGTTCTTCCAAGAAGGATGAGTCACCAAGTAGAAAGGGATAAATCAGCAAATATAGACACCAAAGGTAGCTGCTATCCAGGACAAAGGGGGCACACATCCTCCAATGTCAGTCATTTACCCCAGGCACCTCAGGGGTGGGGACTGAGAAGGGAGCATGATGGAAGGAACTAGAACCAGATGCAGGTACATAGACACCAAATAAAACAAAAACAAAAAAGCAAAACAAGAAGCAAAACCTGATCAAGAGTGAAGAAGACAATTACATAAAAGTTTGTGCAAATAGGGAAGGAAAAAAGATCAAAACTGCAAAAGATACTGAAGCAAAGGATATGAAATGAACTCATGAAAATGGATGCTTTTACCAGAGAGGGGGTGGTCCCTGGGGCTAGGGTCTCCCAGGGAGGAGAGATGAAGTGGCGAGGGGACAAATGACTTTAATGCAAGAGTTAAGGACAGGGAGATTCAAGTGGTGCAGCTAGAGGTGATTTGGGCTATTAACTAGCAAACAGGAACAAAAATGACCTTCACCAATTGCTGAGAGGATTTTGTAAAACCAACGAAGTCATAAAGGTATAAAAACAATTGTACCTTACTTTTGACTTTATCAAAGCAATGCTAGACAATTAAGGAAATGTTGGAGATCATTGAGTAGTCTTGTCCACGAAAAGGTTTTTTAAAAGGTTATTGTACCCCCTCACTCTCTCCTAATTTCCTTCCATCTCTCTGTTCCCCTACAGGTTGACTAGGACTGGTCTGCCTGGGATTGGGGTCAGGCCCGGAAGGGTAGGCCCTGGTGGGGATTCATGGTGGAGGTTCCCATTGGTGGCCCTTGGGCTCCAGGAACAGGAGAGGCAGACCAGCCAAAGGCAGCTGGGAGAACATAGGATGAGGTGCAATGTCAACTGGGTAACCAGCTGCTCCAATTTACCCATGACTAAGGGGTTCCTAGGATGCAGGATTTCAATGTTCAACCCTAGAAAATTCCAGTCAGATGAGATAGAGTTGGTCACAGCAACAAGAGAAAAATCAAGGAGAGTCTGCACATAATCTATATTCTCCTTCTTGCTACCAACAACACCCCAAACTTCCTCTGGAAGCTCCGCCTCCCCCTTGAGTGGCTCTTGACTGCCAACTTCAACTCTACCCTGATTCCAGGGATCACTGACTGTCTGAAGCTAAAAAGTCGCATTAGTTTGGGGAAGGGCACAAAACTCAGACCCAAATGAGCCATCATGGAAATGCATATCAAGACCACAATGAGATACCACTTCACACCCACTAGCATGGCTATAATAAAAAAAGATGGACCAAGCATACATTTCTATAATACATCATCTGTATAATTTTACTAACTAATGTCACTCCAATAAATCTAATAAATCAAATTTGGGGAAAAAAAAAGACCAGAGCAAGGGTTGGTGAGGAAACGGGAACCCTCATACACTGCTGGTGAGAATATAACATGGTGTAGCTGCTTTGAGAAAGAGCTTGGCATTTCCTTAAAAGTTAAATGTAGAGTTACCATATGACCCAGGAATTCCATTCCTAGGAATGCACTCAAGAGAACTGAAAACATACACTCCAAAACTTCACAAATGTTCATAGCAGCATGATCCGTAATAGCCAAAAGGTGGAAATAACCCAAACATCCATCAAAGGATGAATGGATAAACAAAATGTGGTCCATCCACACAATGGAATATTATTCAGTTATAAAATGGAGTGACTTACTGCCACATGCTATAATGTGGATAAACCTTGAAAACATTATGCTAATGAAAGAAACCAGTAACAAAAGGCCACACACATATTGTATGATCCATTTATATGAAATGTCCAGAACAGGCAAATCCGAAAACAGAAAGTGGATTAGTGGTTGCCAAGAACTGGAGAGAGAGGAGGCAGGGAAGATTTGGGGAGGTGATGGCTAAGAGGCATTTCTTTGGGGTGTGATTAAAATATTCTGAAATTGATTCTGGTGATGGTTGCACAACTCTGTGAATGTACTAAAATCCATTAAATTGTACAAGTTAAATGGGTGTATTTTATGGTATGTGAATGTATCTCAATAAAACTGTTATTAAAAAATCCTCATGCCTGAGCCAATCAGCACATAGCACTCCACTGGTCATATGATTGGTTACTGGGTATGACCTCAGCCTGGCTGGGAATGCTGGGACACAGACTCTCTCTCTTCCTGTAGGTTTGGCACTAAGAGGATATGAGGCTTGAAACCACAGAAACCACAAAAGGACAGACAGGAGCTGTTGGGCTCACTGCAAGGACCCTTAAGATGCAACTGAACCAAAGGAATTCTGGATCCAGCCATGCCTGAACTCTTTGAACTGTTTAGTTATAGGAGCTAATAAGTTTTCTCTCTGTTTCAAGGGGTTGAGGGGTGGGGGTTCCCAACTGCTGGTGGAAGATGAGGAATAACAGCATAAAGGATCTAAAACCCATAGCCTGTTATCTCAACCTCTCCATTATACTGGACAAAGTTCTTCCAAACATCCTTGTAAAAGGCTGTACATCCACCCATTTTAATGAATATACCATATTCCTTGTACCCATTCTCCGACAGACACCAAGTGCTTGCACTTTTTGCTAGTGATGAAAATCTTATGCATAGATTGAGAATCACGTGAAGTCTAGCTGAACTGAAATCCTATGACTAAAGACATACAGAAGCCACCTCCAGACTGGTAGAAGGGGCAGAGACACGGAATGGGCTGGTCCCATACCCATGTGTGACCATTAAAAATCGGGAGGGGTATCTCAGCCGCAGAAGTCCCCTTGAGGAGCACGGGGTCCCAGCCCCACACCAGGCTCTCTAGCTCAAGGTTCCAGTGCTGGGGAGAGAAGTCCCCACAGCTTCTGGCTATGAAAACCAGCAGAGATTGTGGCTGGGTGAGATGGAGGGAGGCTAGAGTCCAAAGCATTCCTCTTAAAGGACTCGTGTATGGACTTACTCGCTGACAGACTCACTCACTCTGAGCTCCAGCACTGGGGCAGCAGTTGTTTGAAAGGTGTCAGGGACATAAGGGGAAGAATTAAGTTGTCTGGCTTCAAAGTGAGGGCTGGAGGGGCAGTTTTCTCCTTGGACAGAGGAGCTAGAGGAAGACATTATTTCTTTGTTGAACCCTCCCCACTCCCAGTGTGCAGACCCAGGCAGCTGTCATATCTGAACCTCCATCAAGCTGGCTAACACTCTTCACTCTGCCCTGGTGATAACGTGAGACACCACCTCACCCAAATTTCAAGCCCACCCAAGCTGCTTCCAGTGGCTTTTCCATACAGTGGCTTGTCTTGGCTCAAGCTGTGGCCTTTCCTAAAATCTCTCATAGGTTCACAAACCCCAAACAAGCAGCATCCGGCTTCAGCATGTCCCATACCTCTTGCAGAGCAGCCCCAAACCCGGCACTGGTAGCAGCCGGCCTTGGTTCATGGTTTGGCCTCTCGAGGCACCTCCAAGCCCAGCACAGGTGGTGGCCATCTATGGATTGCTCTGTGGCTCCTGCTGGGTGGCCCTGGGCAGGGCACAAGCTGCAGCTGAACTTGGTCTGCAGCAGTGTCCCTCCCAGGAGGTCCTGGGACTGGCACACCAGGTGGCCAGCTTCACTGGACCCAGTCCGAAGCATAACTCAACTGCCTCCAAGGACAACACACCCAAAGGGCAGACTGGGCAGGCACCAGAGCCCTGTTAAACTGAATCCTGCTCTGTAGGATCAGCCACTACAAAATGGCTCCTCCATTGTAGTCACAGCCAGTCCTCAAAACCAGTCAGTCCAAGGGTCAATCCCTCCCACTGATGTGCACACAGCAACCAAGACTCAACTACAACAGGACACACATAACTCACACAAGGGACACACCTGGAGCACCCAGCTCAGGTGACCAGGGAGACTGCACCACTGGGCCGCACAATACACCTACCACATAAGACCAATCTACTAACAAGGGGAGACATAGCAGTGCTACCTAATACATAGACACAAACACAGGGAGGTGGTCAAATGGGGAGACAAAGAAACATGTCCCAAATAAAAGAGCACAACAAAGCTCCAGAAAAGAACTAAGCAAAATGGAGACAATCAATCCACCAGACAGAGTTCCAAACACTGGTTATAAGGATGCTCAATGATATCAGGGAGAACTTCAACAAAGAGATAAAAACATAAAAATGGAACTAGAAAACATAAAAAAGAACCAGTCAGACATGAAGAATACAACAACTGAAATGAAGAATGCACTAGAAGGAATCACCAGCAGATTAGATGAAGCAGAGGATCGAATCAGCAATTTGGAAGACAAGGTAGCAAAAAACACCCAATCAAAACAGTAAAAACAAAAAAGAATACAAAAAAATGAGGATAGTTTAAGGGGCCTCTGAGACAACATCAAACGTATCAACATTTGCATCATACGGTAACAAGAAGGAGGAGAGGGCAAGGGATTAAAAACCTATTTGAAAAAATAATGACAGAAAATTTCCCTAACCTGGCAAAGGAAATAGATATGCAAGTCTAGGAAGTGCAGAGAGTCCCAAACCAAATGAACCCAAAGAGGCCAACACCAAGACACATCATAATTAACATGCCAAAGGTTAAAGACAACGAGAGAATCTTAAAAGCAGCAAGAGAAAAGCAGTTAGTTACCTACAAGGGAGTTCTCATCAGAGTGTCAGCTGATTTCTCAACTGAAACTTTGCAGGCCAGAAGGGATTAACACAAAATAGTCAAAGTGATGAGAAACAAGGACCTACAACCAAGATTATTCTACCCAGGAAAGCTATCATTTAGAATGGAAGGACAGATAAAGAGCTTCCAGACAAGAAAAAGCTAAAGAAGTTCATCAACACCAAACCAGTTACAAGAAATGTTAAGGGGACTTCTTTAAGAAAATTAAGGAAAAAATATATTAAAAATATGAATAATAAAATGGCAATATCTACATATCTATCAACAATTACTCTCAATGTAATTAAATGCTCCAACACAAGACATAGGGTGGCTGAATGGATAAGAAAATAAGACCCCTTCAGATTGAGACACACACAGACTGAAAGTAAGGGGATGGGAAAAAGATATTTCGTGAAAATGGAAACAATAAAAATAAACAAAAGCTGGAGTAGCAATACTTATACCAGACAAAATAAACTTTATAACAAAGGCTATATAACAAGAGACAAAGAAGGACCCAGTAATCCCACTTCTGGGTATTTATCTGAAGAAACCCTAAACGCTACTTCGAGGGGACGTGTGCATCCGTATGTTCATTGCAGCATGGCCAAGATGTGGAGGCAACCTGGGTGTCCATCGATGGAAGAATGGATAAAGAGGAGGTGGTATATAATACAATAGAATATTGTTTGGCCAGGGAAGAGAATGGGTTATTGCCATCTGTGGTGGCATGGATGGACCTGGAGGGAATTGTGCTGAGTGGAGTATGTCAGACAGAGAAAGACAGATGCAAGGTGATTTTGCTTATATGTAGAATCGAAAGAACAAAATAAACAAACAAAACAGAAATAGGGAGGGGGTTGGGGTGGTGAGTGAAAAAGGGGAACAGATTAAGAAGTACAAATTTGTTGTTACACAGTAATCATGGGGATGTAGGGTACAGCATAAGGAATATAGTCAATAATATTGTAATAGCTATGTGTGGTGTCAAATCGGTACTAGATTTATTGGGGTGACAGATGAAAGGGGGACTGCGGGACTGGGTAAAAAAGGTGAAGGGATTAAGAAGCATACATTGGTAGTACAAAATAGTCATGGAGATGTAAAGTAAAGCATAGAGAATATAGTCAATAATATGGTAATAACTATGCATAGTGCCAGGTGGGTGGTAGACTGGTTGGGGAATCACTTCTTAAATTATGTAAATGTCTGGCCACTGTGCTTTACACCTGAAATTAATATAGAAATAATACTGTATATGTCAACTTGTAATTGAAAATTTTTAAAAGGAGGTAAAAAAAGGTGAAGGGGAATAAAAGGTTCAAATCTACAGGTATAAAACAAGTCATGGGATGCATTGTACAGCATAGGGAATATAGTCAATAATATTGTGATAGTGTGGTACGGTGTCAAATGGTTGCTGGACTTATCATGATGATCACTTCTTTAATATATAAATGTTGAGTAACTATAGTATACACCTGAAACTGATATAACATTGTATGTTAGCTACATTTAAAAATCCTAAAAAAAAAGGAAAAGGAAATCTTATGCATAAAGCTTTGCCCCCACCCCAAATTTGAATTATTTTCTTAGGACATGTGGGATTAATATATACAGGATAAGATATTAATAAGTCTCGCAATAACGGTCCCCTGTGGGGCATGGCTCCCTTTATGTACTCCTGAGAGGTCCCCTCCCATACTGATGCTTGGCTTGGCCACTGGACTCACTTTTGTGTACATTCTTCTTTGTTTCTTTTTACAACTCTCTTCGGGCTGTATAAAAATAGGCCTTGGGCCAGATTTGGCCCACAGACCGTACTTTGCTGATTTCAGTTCTAAATCATTGTCAGAGCTGAATATTTGAGTACCAAGAACAGATCTGGTCCCAAGATGGGTAAACAGAGGGAGACCAGCTGTCCTTCCTGGCTTGGGAAAGCCATGCTGCACCCACCTGGTTACAGAATCACCAAAGATCCAGGAAATCAGACAGTTTTGTTAGGCGTTAGCAAACTATGGCCCACAGGCTAAATGTGGCCCACTGCGTGTTTTTGTAAATAAAGTTTTATTGGCACACAAGCACACCCATTCACTTACCTATGATCTATATGGTGGCTTTTGAACTACAAAGGCAGAGCTGAGTATTTGCAACAGAGTCTGTCTGGCTGCAAAGCCAAACATGGGTACTATCTGGCCCTTTTACTGCCATCCCCTGGATTAGAACATCAGATGGGCTTGGGTTTGAATCCTGACTCTATTCCTATGACATTGGACTCAACTTAAATTCTGGATGCCTCAATACCAAGCTCATTGGGTTATTCTGAGGATTTATTGCACTTCATCAGTCCCAAGAGCCATATCACTTTCACATTTTGACATTTCTAAAATTGGAACACATATTACAAGCAGCATCACCTTACAGTTAGATGTAGCTGCACCTTTTTGTTTCTCAGTGGTCCATAAAAATAATGAGGCCTCTCATCACATCTTAGATGTGAGAAAACACAATAAATGAGATATTGTGTATAAAGCACTTAACATGTGCGGGCCACCAGAGAGCCCTGGGGATAGCTTCACTACTTTTTTGTCCTTAGATCCTGTGTCTTGTGCATCTTGGTATTCACCATTCACCCAATAAAAAGTCACTTATTAAGGTTTTAAGTGATGCATTCCCAGACTCAGATAACTTTCTTTAAAGGAGATGAGTCTCCTATCATGTGAGGAAAGACACAAACTCAACTCGTAGGACAGAGCCAGAAAGCAAAGTGAAAAACTGCTGAAAGAAATGTTTGTGGATTGGCATTTCTGACTCGTTTCTCTGGAAAGTTACGTATCAAGACTTTGAGTTCTGACAATGAAGCATCTACTGAGAAGCATGTGGGCCAGAATTTAAGAAAAGGAAAGAGGTACCAATGACAGCCGTGAAGGCTCATGTCCAGGTGTCAAATGTCTTACCTCATCGCCGTACCGTCGATAACTCACTTCGTACAGCACAATCAGACCATTGGGTTCCTTCGGCTCCTGCCACATCAAGTGAACAACATTGTTCTCGAAGATTTCATGGGTCACGGGACCAACAATGTCATCTGCCTTGGCTGTAAGGAGCAGTGGTTAGAGGTTAGAGGCAGGGACCTGACCCCTGGGTCGAATCTCACCTCCTCCGTTTACCAGCTAGCGACCTCGAGCTGGTTACCCTTTCCTATGCTCCATTTGTCTCGTTTGAGAATGGACATATAAAACTCCCCTCACAGGACTGCCCACATATCTATGTCTGTCTGTCTATCTCAAGTTCTGTTGGTTCTGTTTCTCTGGACTAATACCCTACATATATGTATTTCTTAATTTTACTTTATTTTTCTGATGGCTTGTATGTATTTTTCTAATGTTTATATAATGGCTGTGTATGTAAAAAAACAATAAAGGCAACATGGATGGACCTTGAGGGTACTATGCTAAATGAAATACCGTATTTCCCCATGAATAAGACGCACCCTTTTTTGAAAAATTTGGGGTCTAAAAACTGGGTGCATCTTATACAGTGGTTGTAGATTTTTTGACAGTGATGAGGAGTTGTATGAATTTTATGATGAATAAAACTTGAGTTCAATAACTTTATGTAATACATTTTTTTTCAAATTTCGGGCCCCAAATTAAGGTGCGTCTTATACATGGGGAAATACAGTAAGTCAACAGCGAGACAAATACTGCTTGATCTCACTTAGATGGGGAATCTAAAAAAGCTGAACTTATTGGTGTAGAACACATCTTCATAAAAAGAAAAAATAAATAAAAATAAATAAATAAAATAATAAAAATAAAAAAGCTGAACTCAGAAAACAGAGCAGCACGGCGGTTACCAAGGGCTGGGTGGTGGGGGAAATGTGGAGAGTTAGTCAAAAGGTACAAACTTCCAGTTATGAGATGAATACTTTCTGAGCATCTAATGTATGACACGGTGATTATAGTTAATAATACTGCATTGTATACTTGAAAGTTGCTAAGAGGGTAGAACTTAAATGTTCTCACCATAAAAAACAACTAGTCATGATGTGAGATGATGGAGGTGTTACCGACACTCTATGGAGGTGTGTGCACTATCATCATACTGCAATATACAAGGAGATCAACTCAACACTTGGACACGTTGTTATAGGAACTTACACAATGTTCTATGTCAACTGTATTTCAGTAAAGCTGGGAAAAACTAAAGATAAATAAAAAATGATAAAGGCAAACAAGTTAAAGAGGGTGGAGGGCTTGTCCTCGGTGGGCATGGGTCTCCCGGCCCATGATGTGCCAACCCACCTTCGGGCATGGTCCTGGCACTGACATAGGCCGCTACGCTGCATCTTTCCTCAGGGGAATCTTGGTTGCAAGCCTGTAGCTCGATGCGATAGCCAGTGAAGTGGCGCAGGCCGGAGATGACCAGAGACTCTTTGTTCACTACTTTCTCGAAGGGCCGGTGCTCCTCCGAGCTCGTGGGCGTGCTGGTCGAGGAGGTATTGGGGAAAGCAGCAGCTGTGGGCATGACCGTTGTCACATTTGCCACGTCACCAAGGGCCCTGCGTTTCCTCGATGGCCTGTGACGACAGCAGGATACACAAGGTCACGCAATTGCCATCTACATATAAATGCTGCTGGACAATCAGAGGCTTAAAATGAAAGACTGGTGCAGTGGGGCGCAAGGGGGCAGGTGGATTACAGTGCAGATTGCCAGGAATTACAACCCAGTGCTGCTTTCAAGATGCCCTTGGCAGCATCCTAAGTCAGGGCAAGCCTACCCAAGAGGGCTGGGGGCTCCAGACCATCGTAGTAGACATACACCCATATTGCTCTCAACATCCTTGATTTTAGGTTTTCGTTTGGCAGAGCAACAGGCTACCCAAGGTCAGTGTTAAAAATAAGACGCCAAAAGCATGCAAGAGTCAAGCTTTTCAGGAAGCCCCGCCAAATGGCATTTGCCCAATGGCCCAAGCCACTGACCAACACCATCAGTTTTAACAGGAGAAACGTATCTTCTAATTTTTATGACCGTTTAGGGTGCCTGTGTAATGTGATAATTCAACTTCAATTCTTACCACTCAGGTTGGTACGAATAACCCAAAAAAATGCCAATGCAAATGACACACTTTTCCTCCCTTAAAAAGCTATATTAAGAAATAAATGTTGAAACCCTAAAAGTTTAGAAATACCAAAAAAAAAAGTAAAAAGAAAATTCAAATTAGTCATCATTCCACTGCCCACTGTTTCCTGTGGGCAATTTTTTCCTAGAAATGTTGTGTATGACTATGATGAGGATCAAGCTAGTTTTATAACCCACTTCGTTCATTTATATTAGAAGCATTCATCAAACATTTTCTTTAAAAATATAAAGTCTTAAGTAGCACAGAATTTAGGTTTTTTTCTTTTTCAACATGAGGCGAGGTTTCCCTTCCTCATTTCGAAAGGAGAGCATGCTTATTGCAGAAAACTTGGAATACTGTAAAATACTCCAATTAATGCATGAGCACAATTTACTTAACCATCCTCCGACATTTTTAATATGAGTGCTTCCAGTTCTTTTTTGCTATGATAAATATTGCTTTGACCTTTGCCTGGTTGCCTTATTAGGTCCTGAAAGTGGACCCCCAGAAGACAAATCACTAGGTTATGCCTTTTACACATACAGCTAAATTGCTCTCCAGACCTTTACTTTGATCTGTGGTCTCAGCAGTGGTCCATGACACAGCACCTCAGCAATAGTGAGTGAGAGTAAGCGGGGTTTTCTTTTTCAGCTTTTCAACTTGAGAGACTTTTTAAAAAGGCATCACGCTACTGCTTTACTTGTAGCTCTTCGTACTGCTTGGTGTGGACTTTTCTTTCCTGTGTTGGTTCTTCTGTGTTTCTCTAGGCAATGGTTCACGCTTATCCTATTTTTCCAGGAAGTTCTACAGCTTTCCTCATTCCTGCTCCTGTGCTGTCCATTCACTAAGGGTTTTAACCCTTTATAGGGTTTACCCAGTTTGCTGTTCGCCAGTGACTTTCTTTAAAGGATCTAAAACAATCTTTCCTATTTATCTGTACAATTTTATAGCTCAGCAAATTTTCAAGTTTTCCCTTCACAGGTAATTCTAGATGCAGTTACTAAGGTTTTATGGCAATTAAGAAAGAGATCGTTTCCAGTTTTGTATACCAATTATTGCTAGTATATCCATTGGCTTTTGTTTATTTATATTGTTCCTACTTTGCCGAACTCTCTTTCTAAGAGTTCCATAGTTGATTTTCTTGGGTTTTCAAGGAACACACCAGGAAAAAGGTCAGCAAACTTTTCCAGTTAAGTGCTAGACAGTAAATATTTTGGGTTTTGCAGGACATGTGGCTTTTGTCACAACTACTCAACCTTCAATGGCTTTCAAGCCATTGTAGCTAGAAAGCAACCACAGACACAATGGAAACAAATGGGTGTGATAGCATTCCCAAAAAAAAAAACCTCACTGAGAAAACAGGCAGCCGGCCCATGGGCCAGCATTTGTCCAGCCATGCACTAGATTACCTGCAAATATCAATGATCTTACTTTCCCATAATCCATTCTTTTAAATTCTAATTTCTGTTTTGTGCCTAACTGCACTGGCTAGCTACCCATGTAAGTGTTAATTAGCAATGATGACATTGGGCTCCTTCCAATTCTAACAGGAATAGTTTTTAAACTGATGTTAACCTGACTGTGAGTTTCATCTGGGTCATATTTGTCTTGTTGCCTTTTTCCTCCCTTTCTCTAAATTAGAATTTTTTAAATTAACATTATCAAATGAGATTATTATATGAATTTCCTTACTAGGCCTCTTGATGAATTCGATTACATTATCAGATCTCCAGATCTTAAACCATCCTCACACTTCTGGGATAAATGATATTGCCAGCACAGTGTTTTATTTAGGACATTTGGATCTAAAGTCCCATATTAGCTGATGCTGGGTTTTCTTTCAATGATGCATCTTAGGTTCTGCTAAGGGGTGCTATGTTAGTTTCATAAAATGAACTGGGAAGATTTCCATAGATTTCTATGTTCTGGAAAAGTTTCTATATTACAAGAAATAGTTGCTCTTTCAGAATTCAAAAGAACTCATCTGTAACACTCTCTGGGCCCAGGGTCTCTCTTTTTTCTTTTCTTCTTTGTTTTTTGTTTGTTTGTTTGTTTTTTGAGGAACTTAACCGATATCTTTTTTAAGGCTTTTTTCAAAGTTATTAGAATATTTATTTTTTTCTACTTCTTGAATCAGCTCAGACAAGATAAATTTCCCATGTGAAAGTTTCAAACTGAATTGCACAGGATTGTCCATAGGAATTCAACATATTAAAATCTTCCTTAGACCCCAGTTTTATATCACCTTCTTTTCTTCTAGTTATTTGTGGGTTTTTTCCCCTTTGATTTTAATTACAAGTTTAGCCATACTGATTTTCTCCTCCCTCCCTAATACATTTATATTTTTACATTTTAAGTTTTTTCTTAATTTATAAACCATTTAAGTCTACTAATTTGCATCAAAGCTCAGCTTTGCAATATTCTACAAGTTAAAGTTTGTGATGCTGACATTTCCATTATTTTCCAAATGGACTTTAGTGAAAGTTTCCATTTCTGCTTTGACCCAATAGATATCTAAGTGATTGACTTTTAATTACCAGGAAGTAGAATTTCTATTCAAATTTTTGAAGTCAATTTTTAGTTTTTACTGTACTATAGTAAAAAAAACGAGAGGTCAGAAAACAAACTCTACTTTAGGAGATACTCATTATGATTTTCCTGTGGTCTTTTTGCATGAAAAGAGCAATGACATTCTCAGATGGAAACCAAAGGTATCAAAGCAAAAATATGCCCATATTAGCAAGATTCAAACATTTCTATACAGCCATTTTGCAAGTGGGCCTTGCAAAAATGATCAAGACACCGGTGCCTCATAAATAACCACTAAGAAGTTGATATCTGAACAACTGAAGACATAAAATGAGCTCATCAAACAGGCAAAATATGTATTTACCCAAAGGATTATACCCTGAAAGACCACAACGTAGTCATGAAAGACACCCCTGACCAAACATCAACTGATCCTGCTACTCCCTACATACACAGCATTTGATTATCCCACACTCTCACACTTGACCAGAGGTTCTCAACAGGTGGTGATCCTGCCCCTCGTCCCACCATCACAGGGACACGGGGCCTATCTGCAGACATTTTGGTTGTCACAGTTTGGGGGGCAGGTGTGGCAGACAGTGAGTAGAGACCAGGGATGCTGATCAGCATGCTACAACACACAGGGCTGTCCCCACAACTGAGAGTGAGCCGGCCCCAGGTGTTAACATCTGAGATCAAGAAACTCTGGTCTGGAGCAAGGCCTCTAACTAATTTCTAGACCTTTCCCTTCTACAAGATTATCTTCCAAATGGCCACTAGAGGGCAGATTGGGGCCACACACATATGCCTGAAAATAAATACATAACCACTGTTTAAAGGAGAAAATCACTGGGGTGGGCGAAATGGGTGCAGTGGATCAAAAGGCACAGCTTCCAGTTATAAAATAAATAATCCCTGGGGGTGTCAGTACAGCATGGTGACTATAGTTCATGCACATTTGAAAGTTGACAAGAGAATAGGTCTTAAAAGTTATCAAAAGAAAAAAAAGAAATTTGTGACTGTAAGGTGACTGGTGTTCACTAGACTTACTGTGCTCATCATTTCGCAATAGATACAAATAACGAATTGTTAGGTTGTACACCTGAAACCAACATAATGTTAAATGTCAACTGCATCTCCATAAAAGTAAAATAAAGAATCCCTTCGCATGGCCCCGCCCTGCCTCCAGTCCAGCCTCCTGTTCCTCCCAAGAGCCCGTGAATGGTCCCACCATCTTGACTTTCCCTCAGATCTCTCACTGTCCTCTCCTCCAGGACCACATTGTGTCTTAAAAGAACAAAGGAAGTTCATTCAAAGGGGAGCGGCACACCTGCCTTACACCTATAGTCCTGCGCCTGTCACCCCCAATAAAAATGTTCTGTTTTTGGCTCAGTTTTCCCCACTGCTTGCCCCACATGGTTTAGACTCTGGGCACTGGGCACAGTTCTGCGCACACAGCAGGCGTCGGTAAATGCTCAGTGAGCAAATCCAGAGGGGAAACTTGTGGCATCTGGGAGGTACCCAAGAAGCACCCCTTTGATCCTTTGTTTTAGTAAGAGTGTGCTAGTTATGATTTTTCCCCGCACTCATGCCCACATCCCATCTCCAGGTGAAGGCATTTAACGTGTGAACTGGTGAAGCGCCCTGTCTCGGCAGAGCAGCCCGCCGCATGCATCAAGCCACAGAAGCCCCTGGGGTCTCGAAGGCACACCATCCTCCCAGTGTGGCCCGCTGGCCCTGCACTGAGCAGACACTGGGGCCGCACGGGCATCCCACAGGTGAGTCATATCTACTGTCCTCAGCACCACGGCCTGAAGAGGATTTTCTGTGAAAACAAAACCAACTGCTTTGAGGACAGAGAACTTCTTCAGGCAGACCTCTTGCTCTGACACCCTGGAAGCCACATTCTGTCTAAGCAGCCTAAGGGCGCCCTGCCCTTGACCATGGACTACTTTTTCCCATCATTTGAACTACATCTTCCCCAGCAGGTGCAAGAGCGGGGTAAAAAGCAGAGAAAATATGCCTCAGAGACCTGGCCATCTGGGGTTTCCCTTGGATGTCATACGCGACTACATTTAAACATCACAACTGACTCAGCCATTTCCCAAAGTCCCACAGCGTTTGTTTTTAGTGTGTAAAACAGTAACTGCCTCAATGCCTGGGCTGTGCCATGTAGTGCTCTTTTGGACTCAGGGTCATTGGGTGGGGGTGGGGGGGATGCAAGAAAGAAAAAAGTAAGAAATGTTCCACGCTGATTGATGGTTCTCAGGAAAGGTCTAACCTACTCGGATGAGGGACGATGGGCATTTGAAGAGACACATTTTAGAACCTTGTTTTATCCCAATGTAAACCTTCTAGGGATTCAATCTACTTTTGAAATGGCCAATTGTTTCAGACATGTCTGGGTAGCCATCTGCTGAAGTCTTTAAGGGGAAAGGACAGAGGTCAAGGATGGAGACACAGAAGGCAGCTCAAAGCCCACCTTGCACCTTTACTGCCATAACTTGGGGCGAGTTGCTCATCAGCTCAGAAACATAGGCTTTGGACTCACATAAGGGAGATGGCACCTGCTTCACTGGGTGGCTGAAAGACTCATGAACTAACATGACGCAGACGGTGCTACTGGCATCAAGAGGGGAGGACAGGGATGCTGTTCAACATCCTACAGTGCCCAGGACGGTCCCACCACAAAGGACGGCCTGGCCCCTGATGTCAGTAGTGTCAAGGTTGAGACCCTCTGTATGGCTCATGGAATCTCATAATCCTAAGAGATAGGAACTGTTATTGCTTCCCTTTTACAGATGAGTGAGCGGAGGCAGTGAGAGAGCTGAAACAACCTGTGACCCACAGAAACCTACCTTTTACCTAAATGTCTGCTTGACACTTAGAAGAAGTAAAGACAGATGAAAAGCCCAGAGTGATTTTCACTGCAAACCCTCTTGGTGGATCAGATGTACATCAAAAAGTCCCTTGGGCCGGCCGTGTGGCGTGTTGGTTACAAGTTGGCTTGGGACGCCAGCTCTGAGCAGCAGGGCCACGGTTTGGATCCCAAATGGGCCAGTGATGCTGCGCCCTCTAAACCTAAGATGGTGAACAACAGCTCGACCTGGAGCTGGGCTGCTGTGAGTCGCCCGAGACAGAGTAGGCTGCAGCGGGGCTGCAGTGGGCTGCCATGAGCTACCGTGAGTGGCTGGCAGCCAGCGTGAGCTGCTGTGAGCTACTGTGAGTGGCCTTCCAATGGCTGAGTGACTGCCTCTCCCGGGAAGAGTGCAATGATAATACCAACATGGACCAGTGAAGCAACATCCTCCACAACTAGACTGAAGAACAAAAAGACAGCAAAAAGGAAGGGGAATCCCCTCCCCCAATTCCCCAATAAAATCTTTTAAAAAAAAGTCCCTTCACTCACTAAAAAAAACTCAACATATTTAAATAGAAGTCACCGGGCTTTGAAGATGCTGTGGAAAGTTCCAGAAGGTTGAGAAGGTTACATAGATTTTGAAAAAGAGAGAATGCTCTGAGCTTGAGACATGGCGACAAATCAAGCCGGGGCTAGACAGGCATTTCTCAGGACTGGCCTCAATAGTCTTCTGGGGTTTGTCCCAGAATTTGGATGGAGACGGGAGGCTGGGGTAAAGAGTCCTGGAGAAGTCAGGAAGCAAATGCTGGGTTTTTTAAGTTTCCCCCTTTTCTGGTGAATATTTGCCCTTCCTGGTAAGGTTCCTGTTTCTCTCCCTCCATCCAGGGGGGAGGCTCGGTGTGGACTCTGCCCATCCTCTGGAGCCCACTTCGTCGCGACCCCAGCTCCTGACCTGGGGACGAAGACCACGTTGTGCAGGTAGTCCTCAAACGTCTTCCGGAACGAGGACTCCTCCAGCTCCTTCAGGATCTGAGAGTCGGTCTTCGGGCAGGAGCAACACTCGCCCGCAGATGCCTCGTGCTCACTCTGGTTGTGCTTCTGGGAACCCTCCGACTCGAACGGTGGAGACCAGGTCCGGGAGGGCAGCTTCAACCCTACAGAAAGGCAGAGCAGGTGGACTCAAACCTCCCCCCTGAAACATACACACACGCAGAGCCAAGGGGACCTTCTCAGAGTGGCTGGGCATATGGGACAGAGCTTGAGCCGGGGTCTGGATTCAAGTTCTACTGGGAAAAGTAACACCTTTCACTGGAGGGTCCAGTGGGTGCCAGCTGAGATGGTGCCTGTCAGCACGTTCCAGACATTGTCAGACACCATAACCCCATGGGGCTGGGGGCTGTAAGGTAACCAGGCCTGTCCCTGCCCTCAGTGCGCAGGGGCCAGGGAGGAGGGGTGGGAAATACATAATAAACTAATATAGACATCTGCTATGGGTCAGATGGCAGGGTCAAAGAACAGAGGTGTCTGGGGGTGCTGTTTTTCATGGGTGGTATCGGAGAAAGTGACCGCTGAGCAGTCCCGAATCAAGTAAAGGAATGAGCCATGCACATACCTTAGTGTAAAGTAGTTTAGACAAAGCACAAAGCATGTGCAAAGGCCCCTAGGTAGGCATTTCCTTGGCATGTTGAAAGACAACAAGGGACCAGGAAGCCTACTGAATGGGAGAAGATATTTGTCAACGAGATATCTGATAAGGGGTTAATATCCAAAATATATAAAACGCTCATGCAACTCAACACCAAAAAAACAAACAACCCAATTAAAAAACGGGCAGAGGATATGAAGAGACATCTCTCCAAAGAGGACATACAGATGGCCAACAGGCATATGAAAAAATGTTGAACCTCACTTAGCATTAGGGAAATGCAAATAAAAACCACAATGAGATACCACCTTACCCCGGTCAGAATGGCCATCATCAATAAATCAACAAACAACAAGTGCTGGCGAGGTTGTGGGGAAAAGGGAACCCTGGTGCACTGTTGGTGGGACTGCAGACTGGTGCAGCCACTATGGAAATAAGTATGGAGGTATCTCAAAAAGCTGGAAATGGAAGTCCCGTATGACCCAGCAATTCCACTCTTAGGTATTTATCCAAAAAAAACCCAAGACATTAATCCGAAAAAATATATGCACCCCTATGTTCATTGCAGCGCTATTCACAATAGCTAACATGTGGAAACAACCGAAATGCCCATCGGTAGACTACTGGATTAAGAAATTATGGTACATTTATACAATGGAGTATTACTCTGCTATAAAGAAGAAGGAAATAGTACTATTTGCAACAATATGGATGGAACTAGAGAACATTATGCTAAGTGAAATAAGTCAGTCAGAGAAAGACAAATACCATATGATCTCACTTACACGTGGATTCTAAAAAACTGAATAAATGAGAAATGTAAACAGAAATAGTCTCAGAGACACAGAGGAAAAACTGAGGTTGCTAGTTGGGAGAGAGTGGGGATGAGGGAAAAGGGAAGGGATGAGACAATACAAATTGGTATCTACAATATGGCCTCAGGGATAGAAAAGACAGTCTGGGGAATATAATCAATAATGTTGTAAATATTTTTTAGGGGGCCAGATGGACTCATGTCTTGTTAGGGAGCCCACCACATAGTCGGTGTAGAGGCCTGACCACCGCACTGTATTTCTGAAACTGATGTTGAATAACAATGTATGTCAACTATAATTATACATACATATAGTCACGGGACGTGGAGTAGAGAGTGGGAATGGAGTCAATGGAATTGTAATAGATAAGCATGATATCGGGGGTGGGTGGGCAGTAGATGGGGGAGGGGGGTTGTTACTTTGTGAGAGGTGAAAATGGTAACTATTGCATTGTTCTGTACACCTGAAACTAACAATAACATTTTTTTAAAAAAGAAAGACAACAAGGACCCAATGTGCTAGAAGAGGATGTGGGAGATAATGGTGGGAGGTGAAGTCAGAAAAGAACAGAGTAGCCAAGTCACAGTTGAATGAGTGAATGAATCAATCAGTCAATCAACCACATGGGCAGAGCAGAATTTCACAGGGAATTCTAAGGGGTCCAGCTTAGAGACCCTGTGGTTATACTGAGTCATCAAAATGTGCAGTACAAATGAAAGAATCTAGCTCATTCAGGAATCCTGAAGTCAGAGTAGAGCGGTGGTTCTCACCAGGGGGTGATTCCGCACAACTTTACACCCCCAGGACATTCATTGGGCAAGGTCTGGAGATATTTTTGGTTGTCAGGACTGGTGGGGAGAAAAAGGACCACTGGCATCTAGATGGTGGAGACCAGGGATGCTGCTGGACATCCTACAACAGCAGGACAGCCTCACCCAGGGAATTACCCAGTCCCAAAAGTCAACACTACCGAGGTAGAAAAACCCTGGACTAAAGACATGAGAGGAAATCGGGGGAAGAAAACTTTCAAATAAACATAGAAAAGAGAATTTTTTTAAAAAAACTCTCTAGGTAGCAGTCTTAAAAACACAATGCTGTTTTCTAAGTACCACACCTGACTGTGTCTTAATCCCTGACATCCATTCGCACCACCACACTTCTGGTACAACCTCGCAAATGCACACTACTCCTTACAGGCAAAATCCATGACAGCCCTTAGAGTCCCCTTTCCTGCCACCAGCCCTCGGTGCTCCACTAGTGTCTACCAAGCACAGGAAATTCCATCCTTGCTCCCCCCTTAAATGGATCCTATAGACAATAAGCTCTAAGTGTCTTCCTGCGAGTGGTGAGTGTCCACTCGGAAGCCCAAGTCCTTACACACCTTTGAAAGCCTGCAATGGACTCTTAAAAATACTACTTATGGGGCCGGCCGAGTGGCTCAGTTGGTTAAGAGCTCGCTCAAGAGTTTGAGCTCTGAGCAACAGCAGTTCGATGCCCGGCCTGAGCTGAGCAGCCGCTGAGCTGCCGACAGGTAGCAGGATGGCTCAGCTTAAAAAAATATATATATTAGTTATGTTTATTGATACACATGGAATAACCTGGCTGAGTTCACTGCAAGAGGGCTAGTGATGGCATTATGGGTGGAAAAAAACTTAGGATTTCCTTAGTAAGGGGGGTTCCTGAGAATTTTCCAGAGGGAAAGGAACTTCTGATCAGGTGCAGGCATAGCTCCTGATACCCACCACCCTTTCTGGCACCCACTGCATGGTCCTTGGTGTCCCATGGGTTTTCTATGACTAAAGAATAAAGCATACTGACATACCTAGAGCAGTCAAATCCATAGAGACAGAAGTAGATGGTGGTGCCAGGGGCTGGGGGAGGGGAGGCGAGTGAGTGTTTGATGGGGACAGAGTGTCAGTTTGGGAAGATGCGGAAGTTCTGGAGATGGACAGTGGGGATGGTTCCAGGACAATGTGAATATACTTAATGCCACTGAGCTGTACACTTAAAATGGTAAATTTTTTGTTATGTATATTTTATCACAATTAAAAAAAGCCATATAGTTCATAAGACTGTATTGTATAATTTAAATATGCTAAGACAGTTAACATATGTTCTAAATATTCTCCCTTCCCCCCAAAAAAAGATAAGTATGAGAGGTGATAAATATGTAGCTAGGTAAGAGGAGTCCTTTCACAATGTATACATAGATCAGTCACCACAATGTATGATTTAAATGTCTTACAATGTTACTTGTCAATTATACCTCAGTAAAGCTAAAAAAAAAGGCCAATTAATGATACTAATAGGAAGCCCCTACAGGACATGGTTAGTAAATTTATTTTGTGTGTGTGTTAATAAGTTTATTTGTGTGTGTATATGAGTATGTGTTTTTTTTTGTTTTTTTGATTGTGGTAAAATACACATAACATAAAATTTACCATCTTAATCATTTTTAAGAGTAGAGTTCAGTGGCACTAAGTACATTCACATTAGGGTGCTACCATCCCCACCATCCATATACAGAACTTTCCATTGTCCCAAACTGTCACTCTGTCCCCATTAAACACTCACTCCCCTCCCCTCCCCCAGCCCCTGGCACCACCATCTACTTCCTGTCTCTATAGATTTGACGCCTCCACAGATCTGTGGAATCGCACAGATCTATCCTTAGTAAGTTTATTTTTAATTACATAAACTTTGGGATCATTAGAAATAAAACTATGTTTAAATAGTCGCATTGTAATGACAGATTTATACTTCCAAAATAATAAATAAATAAATAAATAAATAAATACTTGTTGTTGCTCTTTTAAAATAAAGAGGAAAGCACTGACTGCCTGCCCACTGCTGGTGGCAGTTCTAGCTGGAGGTTTCAGTTACACAAATGCAGGGCAAACAGCTCTCAGCCGAGCCGACCACCGTGCTTGCTCTCCAGTTTTGTAAAGCAGACAAGGAGATAAATAAATCACGTTTGCAATCCTCAGCTCAGGCGGGGAATGAGGTCACAGGCATATATATAGCACATGATCCTAGAGCTGGGACAGCTCCCTGAGATCATCTGGCCTCCCGCCCCTTCTCCCAAAAAGGAGGCAGCCGGTGACAAGCGTGGTGAGTGCCCAACGCCCTACAGCAGGTCAGAGGTCCAGCCAAGAGAGGACCAAAGGCTCCCGGCCTCACCCACACCTCTCCAGCAGCCCCAAGGTCAAGGGCTGAGGATATTACTAACTCTAAAAACCTAAAGAAAAATAAATACAGACAAAGAAAAACAAAGAAACAACTAAAGAAAAAAATGGCTTGTTTCTCCAGTCTGATAGGGTTTTTTAAAACCTAGCTTTAAAATAATCTTACATTAATTTATACAGACTAGTTTGAGGCTTCAAATATTTTTCCATTTTTTTTCTGTATATAGATGGAAGTCCACTAAGTAAATAAAATTAAGGACTGAAAAAAATTTTATCATCAGTATAAATTTTTAACAGAAAGCACAGGAAGGAATAGATTTTCGCTCCTCACTGTCTCCAATCCTTAAAATGTAAGGGTCTAAATTTAGGGGCCAAAATCCTTCCATGATTTTGTCAGTCATCTCGCAACACTGCTCAGTTTGCTTCTAGTCTAGCAGGGAAGTCTCTCTGGGTTAACACAGCTACATCCCCACAGGGGACGGGGAAGGGCAGGGAGAGAAAGGAAAGAGGGTGTGAGGGAGGAAGGAGGAGAAAATTCCAGAGGAAAATGGTGTCAAGACACGGGAAATATCTGGTTTCGACACGAGTCTTCAGAGTGTGTACTCGTGTGGTGATGTTTAGAAATGTGTATGTGTGTACGTGTGCACTTGTACACACACTGGGAAACGGAAGGGGAGAGGTGTTTCCCTGAAAGTGGAACAAAGTGGATCAGACGTGTGTCAAACTGGCCGCTCCCACACATCCATCTGCACTCACCTTTGAGGCAATAATCCAACTCGTACAGCTCACTGTCTTCTGCCTGCCTCTCCCAGAAAACCAGGTAGTGAGTGATGTTGCCGTTGGGGTCAGAGGGAGGCTTCCACTTCAGGATAATCTGGGATGAGGAATTAGAAACCGAGATGGGATCCAGGGGGACAGAAGGATCTGGAAAGGAGAAAGGAAATGGGTCCACTGTGAAAAGGATGCAAGCTGTTGGATGGGTGTGAGAGGGGCCATACAGGTTAAAAAAATCATGAGGTTGTTCACTGCGGTGTTATTTATAACATCAGAGAAAACTGGAGACATGGAATGCCCACCCAGTAAGGGCATGAGTTACAAAATTACAGTCCATTCCTACTACAGATTATGTAGATTGTGTAGCCATTCATTCATTCATTTATGCAACACACATTTATCCAGCTCCAACTATAAGTCAGGCTCTCTGTTTGGGGACCTGGAAAGATGCTGACGCTGGGGAAAAGGGAGGATGGTGAAGAGAGACAAATTCACATTTTTTGGTTAATATTCACCCCAAATTGAACCCAGTCACAGGGCAAATTTCAGCAGCTGGACACCATTCAATTGTATTACTGAGCTGGCAGCTCATCTGACATCCCCCCCCCCATCTCAATGCACCTCATTTGGACTCCACAAAACCTTCCCTCCAGTATGTAGCCGAGAGTAGGTGAGGGGTGGAGGTAGGGGTCTCAAGGCAAGAGGACACAGTGTATACAAAGGCCCCAGGAGCTGGAGGTTTCCAGAAACTGTAAGTCCTTTGGTATTGCTGGAGGAAACAGGATGAGGGGGCACTGGCCGAAAAAGCTGACACTGATTCATGAAGTTTGGACTCTATGCTGTAGAATAGGGTTTCTCACCCTCAACACTAGTGACTTTCGGGCCGGACGATTCTTTGTCATGGGGGCCGTCCTGTGCATTGCAGGGTGTGGAGCGGCTTCCTTGGTCTCCACTCACCAGATGCCAGCAGCACCCCCTCCATAGTCACAACCACCAGAAATGTCTCCAGATATCACCCAATGTCCCCCAGTTGAGAACAACCACTATAGGAGAACCTAGGCTTTATAAAAATATAACTAAGTTGTCCTGAAATACAATTTAGTTATATTTTTATATAACTAAAATGTAGAGATGAAACAAAAATGGCAAAATGTTGATAACTGTTGAAGCTGGGAGATGGTTCATAGGGTTCATTCTTCTTTCTAATTTTCTGATGATTTGAAATTTTTCCACAATGGGAAGGAGAGAGAGAGAGAGAGAGAGAGATAGATATATATATATATATATATATATATATATATATATATATATATATATATATATATATATACCTCTTAGGTGGCTTGTTGCTACTGTGTTATCTTCTGAAATTATAAAACTCAGCACCTGTCTCTTTTAGAAGCCAATAACCAGGCAAAAAGGCACTTCATACAACATCGCCATGTCAGCCTGTCAAAGGCAAGATGTCCCATTCGTGCACGGATTCATATTCCCACAAAATACTTACTGGTGGCATTTGTCTGGACATAGATGATGTCGCTCTTGGCCCCATATGTGCGACGTTCATCAGAAAAGGTAACCAAGGTCTTGACAAAGATGGCATACTGGGTCCAGGGCTTCAAACCCCACATCAGCCATCTGGGATGGTTCTGTGACTTAGGGTCATTGGACCTCAGAGGAGGGTCAATGTCCACCACTGTCCAGCTGTTGGAGCCACACGCATCCTGCCCATCGAACTCCGTCACATTCTGATAAGGGCTTTCGAGATGAAATAGGAGAAGGCGGTTATCATTTTTCAACTACAGCTCTGAGATGCGGCCAGGGGAAATGACATCCTATAGGGTTACATCTTCTTCACCAACAACCTTATTCCACAAGGAAAAATGACACAGAAACAGCCAAAGAGAAAGGGACCACCTCCCTTGATGCCTCAATAATAATAGTATTTAATATTAATAATATTGATTAATAATATTTAATATTCAATCATTACATTTTTATTTTATTATATATGTAATGCATTATATAATTATAATAAATATTAAATAATGATGTTTAATAAGCAATATTTAATAAATATTAAATAAGATTAAATAAATAATAAATATAATTTCCCAATAACAATGGTGATGATATAAAAATAGCAGCTAGCTCATGAGTTATTGATAAGATTACATGACAGAATGTGTACAACTTCTCAGCAAACAGCCTGACACATAATAAATCTTGAGAGATGGGCTATTATTACTATTAATACCATCACCATTTCCATTATCTTCCTTTAAATTTTCAGCACAGTCGTATAGTCAAAATGACTAGGTGGTCACAGTTTCAGTTTGGGAAGATGAGAAAGTTCTAGAGATGGGTGGTGGTGATGGCTACACAACATAACGAATGTACTTCATGCCACTGAGCTGGACACTTAAAAATAATTTAAATGGTCAATTTTTACCACAATTTTTTAGATGTCAGGAAAAATACAAAGTTGGTTAAGAAATAAATTTTTCAAAACCCATTAAGTAGACTGAGCAACTTTTGTTGAGGACGTCTGGTGAGATGTGCATAGAAGAGGCAAAATGGAATATCGCTATAGGAAATTGGCCAATCTGAACCTCCAAAAGGAGCCTGTCTGCTTCAATTTCTGGCTTTTGACAAAAGGGAACATGACTGACTGACTTCACACACCATCAACTGGTGAGATCATAAAATGGAGCCTATGATATTCATGCCACGAGTGGAAAGCAGACAGAGAGGTGCCTCCGAAGGGAACATCTGATCATTCACACAACACACACACCTCTTAACCCTCTACTTACGCCTCTTTGTAGAACAGCATGAACCCCAGGAGGTCTCGGAAGTCAGGGGGCCAGTATGGCTCCCATTTCAGCATGATCTTATCATAAGATGTCCGAATAAAAGAAAATTTAAGTAATTCATTTTCACCTAGAAAAGTTTTTTAAAAAGAAGGAAGAATATCAGTATTTAATTTGTTTCAGCCGAAAGCAGTGATCCTATACTCCCAAGAGTGTCCATAAAAGGGAGACATCATCCTGCTGCTCTATGGACTGGCCTTGTTCCCACGCGCGTCGCCCAGGGCCCAAAGGGAAGAACTGGTCACATGGAAGTTGGCCCCTACTGCCAGCCAATTACCTGGCAGATGCGCAAATGAATAACAGCAGCTGGTGCCAATAAGAGAAGGGCAACTGGCCTATAGTTAGAGATTTTCAAGGGTCACGTTTGTCCTGACACAATTCTGTCATGCATATGGACTTTCAAGTCTGACATGTGAGAAGACGTAACTCCAGTACAAATGAGCACATGCTAAGAGAGTTTAGAGAGTGTGCAGCTCACATACACCTTGGACAGACAATTCCTTGGAGAGACGATGCCTTGGAGAGAGTAACTTCCTCTGCCTAGGATGCTAGCCCTCCCTTAGGCTCCACCCCAACCTCACTCTCTCCCGCCCCTGAATTCCCACAGCTTGGACCACATTCTGCCCTAAGGAACCAGCTCTACATAAAGGCATTACAGAAACCCTGGCAGCTCAATGCTCACATATGCCTTCAAGAGAGACCCTGTCAGAGAAGTGCAGTCGGCTGACAGTCTCCAGCTGTAGCAACTACAGGACCTGCTGTAGCATTTGAACCAAGGCCCTGTGTAAGGAGGCGTCATTCATTCAATGCTTACGTGGCATCTTCCACTATCAGGCACTGTGTCTGGTGCACTAGGCACAGAGACAAGATGTACAACACCTGTCCTCAGTATTTCAGAAAGCCTATATAGTTGTTTAAGCTCACTGGGGGGCAGTGATACCCCTGGGGGCCAGTGTGGTGGGTGAGGGGATCCACAGACTGGAAGGACCAGGGCATCACCACTTACAGGACGCCTGGTCCCCATTGGTCTTCAGGGCAATGTCATTCCTTTCCTGGCGCCCCTTCGTTCCTGAAACTTCCTCCATCTTGTGAATTTCCGACAAGCAGAGTTTGGGATTATAATGGAAGAAAAGTTTCCCCTGAGTGATGGTGAGGTTGTGTTTGCTCCAGTCCCACAGCTGCCTTAGGTTCTGGTTGTCCAAGGCGTAGAAAGAGTAGTTCCTATGGAAACACACACACCTAGTCAATCATCAGCTTGTCATCTCCAACTCCACGATGACAGGGCCATGCTAGAGTTGATCTCGTTCAGCACTACATACCCAGCCCTAACCACCTGCTTGGCACATACTCGGTAAGTGTTGTCTCAGGGGTAGGGGGATAAAAGGCAATTGGACAAGGGACGAGGGACAAGTGTTCATGGCCAGGAAGGTATCTGAGTTCCATCTTGTGGGGGAGGAGAGTACGACTGTGATGTATTGAGATGTGGGTTTCACAGAGGGGAAATAATCAAGACACAGAGGCACATGAGCTTGGCCCAAGGAAGAGCAAAGTAGCCTGCTCTGGCCAGCAAATGACAAGAAAAGACTGGAGAGCTGCATTGGGCCAAACACTGGAATATACTGCATACCAGACCAAGACTAAGAACATGTGACCTTCCTTGGTAGGCAGAAGAAAGCCAATGAAGGTTTCATAACAACTCAGTAACTTGATTAGACCTGTGCACCTTAGAACCATTAGTGGGTCACCAGCATATGATGGATGGGAGAAGGGAAACATCTAGATCTGTTTGGCCAATACAGAAACCATTAGCCACCTCTGGCTACTGAGCACCTGAAATGTGGCCATTCTGAACTGTAGTGGAAGTAAAAAACAGATTTTGAAAAGAGCATGCAAAAAAAATAAAGGTGTGAAAGATCTTCATAGTTTTTTATATTGGTTCCAAGTTGAAATGATATTTTAGATGTAATGGGTTAAGTAGAATGCATTATTTTTGTTTCAATTTTTAAATTTTTATTAAATTTATTGGGGTGACAATGGTTAATAAAATTATATAGGTTTCAGGTATATAATTCTGTAATACATCATCTGTATATTGCATTGTGTGTTCACCACCCAAAGTCAAGTCTCTTCCCGTCACCATATATTTGACCCCCTTTACCCTTTTCTACCTCCTCCTACCCGTTTCCTTCTGATAACTACCATACTGTTGTTGTCTGTGTCTATGAGTTTTTGTTTGTTTTGTCTTAACTGAAAGCAATACAATGCATTATTAAAATTAATTTCACCTATTTCTTTTAAAGTTTTATAAATGTGGCTACTAGATTTAAAGTCACATATGTGACTTGCATTATACTTCTGTTGGACAGTTCTGGTCCATTTCTAGGAAGCCCAGCTAGGAGGTCAGTGGAATAATCCAAATGAAAAGTCTAAACTTACAACAAAAAGGCAGTTTTGTGGCAGAAAAATCAACATGAGCTGGTGAGTGATTCAAGAGAGTAGTCTCTAAACAATTCTGTGGATTGGCTTCTCTAAAGCCATTCACACACACACACACACACACACACACACACGTGCGCACGCGCACCCCCCTCTCTTCCCTGGCCTTCCTCTATTATTAGATTGAAAAAGATAAATATTCACCCTCCCAGACTCTCTTGCAGCTAGGAGCAGCCACATGACCCAGTTCTGGCCAAGGACATATAAACAGAAAACAATGTTAGGGATGAGACTGTGGGAAATTACAGGCAAGATTTCTTTTAAAGAGGCAGTAGCAAATGATATATATCTTTGTCCCTTTCCCCTTTTCCTGTTGCGTCTAGACATAAGGTTGAGGGTGAGGCAGCCATCATGTGACCAAGAGGAACACAAATATGGAAAAAAACCTGGGTCCTATCCTTGATGGCATTGTTGGATGGCTTCCTCGGACTTCTTGCCCATAAGTCCATCTCAGTCTGCATGAAACATAGCTAGTCTGGATTGCTGTTGTTTCACTAATGGAAATAGGGTCAGCATGACCTAGAGGGGAGGGGATCTGAGAAATGAGGATGGACAATGGGGGCAAGAAGGAGAGTTCCATTTTGTACATGTTGTATTTGAGGTTCCCAGGGGTCACCCAGCTGGAGGCAAGCTTGGGGGTAAGCCATGGTTGGGGGTCTCAGTACTAGAGATCACTACAGAGATGGCAAAGGCTGGGAACCCAGGACATCAACTCTCAAAGGCAGGTAGAGGCAGGGAAGCCTGGGAGAGGAATGAGGGAGGAATCCCGGGGAGGCCAGAAGGATACCTTAAGGAGGTAGAGAACCTTATGGGCCAGAGAAGATGAGATGCAATTAACAGATGTAATCTGTATCACGGGGACCAGGGACTGAGAAGGTGCTAGATGCAGTAATTGCAGGGTTCTGATTGGGCCTAAACTCCAACTCACACTGAAGCCCAGAGAGCAAGATGCCCTATTTCATTCTGACCAGCACCCTTGGAGAGCACAAAGTTAGGCTGAGCTCCTGCGACTTCCAAGAGTGACTGTAAAACGGGTATCACCTGCCATGGCTGGATCTTCAAACATGTTGCAACACACATTCCTTCCTCTCAAGATTTCTCAAGGAACTTTCTCCTAATAAATGTTTTTTGTTTTGGGGGGGGGGGTTTGGCTTTAAAAGCCCCTAAGTTACTGTGGTGACTATGGTTAACAACACTGTATTGAATATTTGACAGTTGCTGAAAGAGTAGATCTTGAAAGTTCTCATCAGAAGAAAAAAATTTTCGTAACTATGTATGGTGACAGATGTTAACTAGACTTATGTGGTGACCATTTCACAATGTATACAAATATCGAATCGTGATATTGTACACTTGAAACTAATACAATGTTATATGTCAATTATACCCCAATTTAAAAAAAAAAAAACCTAAGTTTTCCTATTTTTCCTCCAGTTTTATTGAGATATAATTCATATATAACATTATTAGTTTTAGGTGTACAACATAATAATTTGACATAGGTATATACTGCAAAATTATTACCACACTAAGTTTAGTTAAAATCTATCACTTCACATCATTAAAAGAAATCTTTTTCTTGTGATGAGAACTTTTAAGATTCACTCTATTAGCAACTTTCAAATATACAATACAGTATTATTAGCTATCCTCACCATGCTGTACATTACATCCGCAGGACTTATTTATTTTATAACTATAAGCTTGTACCTTTTGACCCCCTTCACCCATTTCACCCACCCTGACTCCCTGCCTCTGGCAATCACCAATCTGTGTTCTGTATCTATGAGCCTGGGTTTTCTGGTTTGGGGGTTTGGGGTTTTTTTAGATTTTACATATAAGTGAGATCATACAGTATTTGTCTTTCTCTGTCTGACTTATTTCACTGAGCGTAATGCCCTCAAAGTCCATCCATGTTGTCACAAATGGCAGGATTTCCTTGTTTTTTATGCATAATATTCCTGAATAATATTCTGTTATATATATATATATATATATATATATATATATATATATATACCACATTTTCTTTATCCATTCATCTGTTGATAGACACTTAAGATTGTTTCCATGTCTTGGCAAAAACCCCTAACTTTTTCTAACTCACCAACTTCCAGTTGGCATTCAGGACAGACACAGAATCAGAACCCACATACCCGACTTCCAAGGTATCCCCCCGAATCAGACGTAACTTCCGGAAGAAGGAAAGTGACACGAGGGCATAGGAACGGCGGATTTTCAGATACCCTGAAATTTCCTCAATAAGGCCGAGGTTGGCCTCTAGCTCAGCTGCCAGGTTGTCTAAGGAAATGAGAGAATATCCAGTGAGTTTTACAGAAATATTTTAATCTTTCCATACTTTCCCACAGTAGGAAATTAAATTACAGGCTGAAAATGACTTTGACGTATCCTGCTCAAAATGAATCATATTTAATTAAAATGAAATCCAAAGTCCTTACTACAGGATCGGTAAGTCCCTAAACAAGTAACCACTGCTTTTTTTCTCATTTCATACCATGCTCCCCGAGAAAATCACTCTCCTATTGATCTGCTTGGTTTGCTCCATCACCAACTCAAAGCACGGCTCCTCCAACCAGGAACTCTTCTAAAATAGTAACCCTCTTACTCTCTGTTTCAACAGTTCGCAAACTCCAGACCACTGGCCAAGCCCTGTCTGCTTGTTTTGTAAATAAAATTTTATTGGCACAGAGCCACACCCATTTGTTCATATGTTCTCTACACGGGCAGGGTTGAATAATTATGATGGACATCCTCTGGCCTGCAAGGCTGAATATATTTATTATGTGGCCCTTTGTAAGAAAAGGTTGCCGACCTGCTCCCTCCACTACCCGGCTTTGCTTCCCTTCATAGCAGGACACCACCTGAGTTTACATGAGACGTTGATTTGCTTATTTGCAAGATCCATCATGCACGGACATAGCTTGTGCACTGTGAATACTCCACAAATGTTTGCTGAATAAATAAATAAAGCAATGCTTTTTTGCCTGTGATGTTATTTCTAGAAACATGGTCCCCAGACCTGTACCAGGGCATGTTGCCTGCTTGTTAAAAACGCAAATTCCTGACACCCCAGCTCCCAACGTGGAAAATCAGAATCTCGGGGGCGGGCTGGGAGGACAGGGCCAGATGGAGCTCCGAATTTCAGGTTTGGAAGCAAACAGCTGGGTGACTCCGCTGTTCGGAGAACCACCCAGGACGGTCTTAAAATCGCCTAAGGAGCATGAAGCAGAGTCTGGACCACTTCCCTCTCCACTCACAGGGAACATGGACCCCAGCAGGCCGCTCCCCCCAGCACTCACTGCCGCCTCGAATGTTGATGATAAGGCTTCCATTGACAACGGTGCAGCCTCGGAGCTCCTGGGCAGACGTCACTGAGTCGATGGTCTTCTCGCCTTCTAGGAGGTGACAGACCTTGGGACAGGGGCCCAGACACGGAGTGCACATCAAGCTGAGAAAAGAGCAGAGGGGGGTTAGGGCCCACAGGATCCCCCTATTCACGGCAGACAGCATGCTGCACAGGGTCCCAAGTGATGGGACTTCCGCCACTACCCTAAAGCAGGGGCCTACACCCACAGCACTGTTGACATTTGGGGCCAGAGAACTCTCCATTGTGGGGGGCCATTAAGGGTGCTGAGCCGCATCCCTGGGCTCTACCCTCTTGCTCCCAGTAGTACCCCCACCTAAGGTATGACAGCCAAAAATGTCTCCAGACCTTGTCCCCTGGCGGCAGGGAGGCAAATCGCCCCAGGTAAGAATCACTGCTGAAAATGACAGACAGGGTTATACCCTTTCTCCATGGTGGCGGGTCCTACAGCACTACCCTGAAGTCAGGACACTAAATGTTTCTTCCTAAAATAATGGGGATCCTGTGTACCCCAGACTGGTAGGATTCACACTGTGCCCCATAGAGAGAGGACTCATACTATTACACCAAGCCGATGGGTCTCATGGAGTTACCATGGTGATGGGATGACGCTCAGCTAATGGGTCTTATGTAGGACTCTGCTGCTATGTCAAAGTAGAACCGATGCTGTCACCCAATTGTGGCAGAACTTGGGCTGTTACTCCAATGGAACAGGATGTTTGTTCTGCGTGGGGTTTGATGTGACCATTGCTATATCAAAACCTCACATCTGATGGAGGGTGACGAGGGGCAGACTTTGGCTTTGCCTGCCTGCCTGCCTGATGTCCTCAAATTTACAGCCCCCAAGAGTGCTTTGGAAACCAGCCCTCCCCCACATGGGGTCTCTGTGGTCAGTTGTTGCTGGCACAGCCTTCCTGGGTCCAGTCAGGACACAGGATCCAGGTCAGGCTGGGCTCTGCCTTCCATCCCCAGGGGTTTAGAGGTGGGCACATACCCAAGTCAGTCCAGTGAGGGTTTTGCTAGAACTTCCTGGAAGGAGAAATTGTCCTCCTTTGGGGGTATCTAAGAGGGTGCTGCTATATTGTTAGCATGGGGCAAGCAGTCGGGGAAAGGCTGCCTGAAAACAAAACCAAAAGAGAGGGAAATAAAGCCAAGGATGGGAAGAAACGGATCATGTATATCAGTTGTGCTCCTGGATACAGGTGAACCTGAAGCTATTCCCTTAACTTTTTGGTTACAGGCGTCAATAAACTCCTTGTAGCTTGCTTCAGCCAGTTTGGGCCAGGGCTCTGCTCCACACAGCAAGAACCCCCAGCTGTTAGTCTGAGTCTTACTTTCCTCATCTGTGAAAGGGAGAGAATGGCAGTGCCCACACTCGCAGGTGGGAATGAGGACTAAATGATGTGTACCACCTAAAGCACTTGGCATATAGAAACACGAAGCGTTAGCCATGGCCATGATGGTCACTTTATTAGTGGTATCGTTGCTACTGCTATTTTCACACCCCTGTGTATTGGATTCTTCAGCATGATCTTTGTGATGGTGGTAAAACAAAGAACATAGCTGGGCTTTGTCCCAGGTCCTGGCACAGAGCTTAGGAAGCTCTTAGAATTTCCTGAGTGATAGGAGCATCTTGTTATGCTAATGAGGTGGCCTGTGGGGTCCCTAAATAGCCTCAGGATGGGGGTGGGTCACCGGAAAGACCAAATGTATGATTAGAGGGCTGGGTCTTTTGGCCACCTGACCTCCAAAGAGAGCAATGGGGCTGGAGGTGGAGTTCAATCACATGTCGAGGATTCAGCCGATCACATCTCGGTAATGAAAACCCAGTAGAAACTCTGGACACCAACTCAGTGGGCTTTTTCTGGCTAGAGGATACATTGCCGAGATGGGAGCGTGATGTCCCTGCTTCTGGGAAGGCATGCGAGCTCTGTGTCCGGGACTCTCCCAGACCTCACCCTCCGTGTATCCTTAATATAAAGCTGTGATTGTAAATATATGTAGTGCACGTGCCTGACATTAAGCGTTCTGATCCCCAGGCATCCATTGCAAACGACATCCATCTTGAATTATCACAGTGCCAGCCTTAGGACTCAGCTACTAGCAAACCACCAGATAAGGAATCAGGCTGCTCCCACCCATGAAGCTCCCTCTTGCAGGAAGCCCTGGGTGACCTAGGTAACTGACCACTTGGGGGGCCCTGCTTCTCCCTTCCTGCACCCTAACTCCTGCTTCATGCTTTAGCCAATAAAGAACAAACCCAGGAAACACTAGATGCCCCTCCCTCAGATCCTAATACAGCAGAGCCCAAGGTCGTTCCCCTTCTCCCTCCCTCTCCCTCTCCCGCTTTCTCTCCTCCACCCCATGATCTCGCTATGTGGGCCTCAGGGTACCATGTACCCTCCAGGACCTGTGGGTAATAAATCTCATTCCTCAAAGTTCCCTAATGGTTTCTTGCTGAAGTGCGTCCTGGGATCATAACAAAAACCATGAGAGCTGGCCCTGCCACGAACAGAGGCCCTAACGTAGGGAATGTCTGTGGAGCTCGCTGGGCATGACGTGCACCAGGGCGAGCAAAGCGGCATTCCTCACGGAGGGCGCTATCATCAGTAGGCTTGGGGCTGACGGAACACTACAACTTTATTTTAGTTCTGTGCTGTGAGTTCTAGCAAATTTTTGAACCCAAAGAGTTTGTGGGAACCCCCAAATTTATAGCCAGTCGACCAGAAGTGTGGGTGGCCTGGGGACCCCCAAAGCGTGGCTGGCCTCTGAAGAGAGGGCTGCGCTATGGAGTACCAAGCCTTTGACCTGTGGTTTGACACTAACTCCAGGTGGTTAGTGTCAAATTGTAATGCAGTACACCCAGTTGGTGTCAGAACAGCTGGGGAGGAAGCAGAATTGGGACCAAATGTTTGGGTCCCTTTGTTGGTTCTACAAATATTCACTGAGCATTTATTATGTGACAGGTGACACTCTAAGCTAGGGGTCCACAAAGTACAGTCTGCGTGCCAAATCCAGTTGGCCACCTGCTTTTGTAAATAATGTTATATACGGCCACACCCACTGGTTTGTGGGTCATCCCTAGCTGTTCTCACACTCCAAGGGCAGAGTAGAGTAGCTGCAACAGAGACCATATGGCCTACAGAGCTGAAAAGTTTTACTAGCTGGCCCTTTCCCAATGCCTGCTCTAAGCCGTGGGCACACATGAGTGAACAAAACAATCAACTTTCCCTGTGGGAGATTACAAACGGCTACGAGTCCTTCTCAGCCGTCACACAGAGAAGCAGGGTCTGTTTCCTCATCCAGTGAACCTGGGCTTGGCTGGGTGAATGGCTTTGGCCGAGGGGACATTAGCAAATGTGATGTAAGCAGAGGCTTGAAAAGTACTTGCACATTGGAGCATGTCCTTCCTAGTTACTAGGATGAGACATCACGTGGAGAAAGGCTCCAGCTGCCCATCTAAGATATGAGAGGCTATCCTATTCCATCCGGTCAGGGCTGACCCAGTCCACACAAGACAAACCACCAGTCAACACACACAATCATTAGAAACCATAGATGAGTGTTAGTAAGTTAAGTTGCTGGGGTAGCTTGTTACACAGCATGAGCTAACTGATACACTCGTGAAGCGTATGGTCTAATTGGGGAAAATTAATAAATTGACAAATATCAGCTAGTGGTAAATGTCAGGAAAAGAGTTAAAACTGAGCAATGTGCCAAGGAGTAGCTGGATGGCTAATTCAGACAGGGCAGTTAGACAGGGACGGAGTCTTAGAAAAAGTGATTTGTAAGCTGACCTGGATGACAAGAAGCTGGCCATGAAAAGATCAAGGGGCCGAGCATTCTAGGGAGAAGGAACAGGGATGCCCTGCACCCGTCAGACACTTAACATTCACCCCACATAACGAGTTAAAGAGCACCTGCTGCTCCCGCAAGGTATCCCAAAGTGACTGATCATAGATCACGAACAGAGACATGTTCCCAGACCTCTGTTCTGAAAACGTCAAGAACTATTTCCCAGATAAGCCACAAGAACGGAAGAAAGCATATCTGGTCCTATTTGATATCAAACCACATTAGAAAATGCGGCAGCACTAATGTCTTTCATAAAATCAAATAAAAGCTTCAGAAGGAAAACTATTAATTTTAAAGAAACCTATAAAGTATAATAGTGCCATCATGAGTCGTAATTAGCATCTCTCACTTTGCCCTCTTTCATTCAGTAAAGGTCGCAAGCATCGCAGGACATGCTATCAACTTCCTAGGGCCAGCACACCATCAGGAGAACACCAAAAGAGATGGCTGTATTTCTCAGGTCTTAGTTATGGTGAAGGAAAAGTACCTTTCATTTAAAGCCAATGTCTTTTAAACAAACATCTTACCAAAAGATGTTAATATCCACTCTTCATTTTAAACATGAAACAAAAAAAAAACCCAGAAATGAATTAAAAGGAATATGGTCATTTTCCCAACCTTACTAATAAACTGAGCCCAAAAAAGAAAAAATAGCTCTGTCTGGCATGCAAAAGTGATTTACAGTCACCTATTTTTGGTCAACAAAGCCACATGACAGGTTTCATCAAAAACGAATAAAACAAAACATATTGTACTTGCAGGTTTCACAAACACTCAATGAGAGGCTCCTAAGAACTGAAATAAAGATTGTTTTCCTTCCTACCCTCCCCTCCCGGGGTAATAAAATTTCCTACCAGAACACTCTCGCTTGGCTAATTCTCAAGTCTGAAGAGGAAGATTTTTTTACGTAAGCAGGTCAGCTGAAGGCCCCTCGGCGTGCGTCTGTTTCTGATTTGTTTTTGTGTTGCTTTGTGGAGGTTTTTTTTTCAAACACAAAAACCAGGAAACAGATTTTTTAAACTTGGTTACAGCCCCAAGACACCAAAATAGCTCATCTAAGAAGCTAAAAACATGAACAAAAAATCTACAATGTGCGTAGGATCTGACTCACGCCAAAAAGAGAAAACCTTATTTCTCACCCAAATAGTAGGAAATGGTTTCACGGCACTGTGCTTCAAAATATAACAAAACCCTCGGAATAATCAAGAATCGAGTCTTCCTCCTTGAGCTCTACGCTGATGTCAGCACACTGTCCAGCTTCAGGTCAGCGAAAACATTTTAAAAAACCTGAGCTCCATCTTGATGGTAACAGCCAGGTAGCCCATCAGTGGGGACAGTCCATAAATGTGAAGGATTTTACAGGAAGCCAAGGACTTCTGTCTGTATACCTTCTGTTTCCAATGCTAAGCACAGAAAGCTTTAAAAATCATGTACAAGATGCCAGAAATACTTCCTCCCTGGCCCTTTACTGAGAAAGTTTGTCAATTCCTGCTTCAAAGGTCAGGACCAAAACAGGAGGCAGAAATGGCATCCGAGATACCCAAGCATATCACTGGTCATCACAGCTCCCTCACTCATAGCCACTGAACTCTGGTTTTTCGCAGTTTTAACAGGCAGCAGGCACCTCCATTACCAACCCCATATTCCTCCTCCTCTTGGAAGCTCCCCACCCCCGAAACCCACACCCAGGACTCACTTGCTAGAATTCATCGTGTACCCAGAGGGACACTCAGGGATGCACTTGTTGTTATGAATGACATACTGGTGGCAGCCCTGCCTCCGAGAATTCTTGCATTTGTTGTGCAGGTCCTGGCAGAAGCTGAAGTTCACGCAGCGCCAGTCTTGGAAGTGATAGTACGGGGGCGGGCAGGTCTCCACACACCTGCCGTCCAGATAGAAGTTGCGGCAGGCCACGCACTTGGTGGGGTCATCGGGCTCAGAGCAATTGCCCAGGCACTCGCTGTGGCAGCAGAGGCCTTCGGCGGTGCAGCCGTGCGACTTACAGATGGTGGGGCAGACTGCAGAGAGAAAGAAAACAGCTGGTCAACGGCTTTGCCCAGTTCCTGTCTGCACAGACAGCAGTGCTGGATTAGGGAGTGCAAGCCAAACAAAATAATAACAATAACAGCTCACTTCTACAGCACGTGCTGCACGCCAGGCACAAAACCATTAACAAAAGCATTAACTTAGTTAAGCCCCCAAACCAGTGGTGTGCTCGTGAATGTTTAACAACCACTTCAAAGAGGGGGACAGAGAGGCTCTGACTTGTAGCATCTGCCAATTTCCACGGTGTAAATGCCCCCAACCTAGTTACTGAACATGGAACTGGCAAGAGACACATGGTTACACAGCATCAAATAGGATTTTCACCATACAGATACAATAGTAGCAAGTAACCCCAAAAGCATAAATTACAGTAGTGCCCCTTCCTCCATGCAGGACACGTTCCAAGATCCCCAGTGGATGCTTGAAACCACGAACAGTACCAAACGTTACATATGCTATGTTTTTTCCTGTACATATGTACTTATGGTAAAGTTGAATTTATAAATTAGGCACAGTAAGAGATTAACAACAATAACCAATAATAAAATAGAACAATTATAACAACTGTATACTGTAATAAAACCGAGTGACTATGGTCTTTCTCTTGCTCTCAAAATATCTTACTGTACTGTACTCACCTTTTCATTTAAAGGAAGCACTTTACGGCTTCTCTTGAGCATCTGAGTTGCCAGCATTGCTATTCTTGTGCTTTGGGGCCATTATTAAGTAAAATAAGTGTCACTTGAACACAAGCACTGCGATTCTTCGACAGTCAATCTGATACCCAAGATGGCTAACTGAGTGACTAAGGGGCGGGGAGCGTGTACAGCACGGAGACGCTGGACAGAGGGGTGATTCATGTCGCGGACAGGATGGAGGAGCGGAATGGCACAAGATTTCCTTGTGCTACCCAGAATGGTGCACAATTTAAAACTTATGAATTGTTTAATTCTGGAATTTTCCATCTTGTGTCTTTAGATCACGGGTAACTAAAACCTCAGAGAGCGAAACCATGGACAAGGGGGACTAACAGGAAAATGGAGTGAGATCATTAGGAGGAGCTGAGTTTTGAGTATTTATCACCTTTGTTTTTTAACATAGTTTAATTGTAAGTTTATATCATTCAAATTTTAATAACAGCTTGTTTAACATCCAATTCACAATTTTCCTGAAAATTAAAGAACTGGCTCTAGCAAGTCAGCTCCAGCACGCAGCTGCAGTACTGGTATAAACAGACATAGTAGTCTCTCCATTTTCTGCCTTTTACAAATGGGGAAACCAAGGCACAAGAAGGTTAAGCAAATTTCCCGAAGGTCATTTATTGTTTCAACGACATTTGCTTGCACTGATCTAGACATTGCAGTCACTGTGGGGGCGAGGTAGCCGCAGACCTTGCCTTCAGGAGCACACAGTCTAATGGAGAAGGTATATTAGTTATTTAAACACGCAATGTGTAATTCAATATGCAAAGCACTACGCTGGAGGTAAGGGGGAGGTGACATTCCTGCTACAACCTGAAGGAAATACAAATGGGACAGAAGGAGACTCCGGCTGGGGGGCAGACGCTACACAGATTTTGTGGCTGCCAGGAGTTTCTTGTTCGATGCAACTGAGCTTGTCCATTAAAGGCTGGGCCCTGTCTTGGCCTCCTCCAGCAGCTTGTCAACATCCCCTTTCTCCCGATGTCTGGCTACTCATCGCTTCTTAATTACCCCTTGATTGCAGTCCCTCAGCATCTATCCTGGGTCTCCCTTCCCAGACTGTCGTGGACAGATGGCTTCCCTGGGGCTGGACAGACTGCGGCCACAGCAGCACCCGTCCTCAGAGGGCTTTTTCACTCACTCCCTGCAAAGCTTGAAATGCAATTTGGAAACTGGAGAGTGTTACTCCCAAGTCCTCAGGCTTCTTGATGACTGCAGCGAACATCACGGCCTGAGAGGACCCCACTGACCAGACCCAGTGAACAGACGCATCCCCTGAAGCTGCATTCACATATGAGCAGCACTGGCTCATGGAACTTGATGATGGAAATGTTCTCAATCTGCACACTGTCCAACACGGTAGCCACTTTTCCCCTGTGGCTGTTGACTGTGGTTAGTGCAACGAGGAATCACATTTTTTCCAACTGTGGCAAAATACACAGAGCATAAAATTTGCCATCTTAACTATTTTTAAGTGTCCAGGTCTTTAGCATTAAGCACATTCACACTGTTGTGCAACCATCCCCATTATCCATCACCAGAACTTTCTCATCTTCCCAAACTGACACTCTGTCCCCATTAAACACTCACTCTCCTCCCCTCTCCCAGCCCCTGGCACCACCATCTACTTCCTTCTCTATGAATCTGACTCCTCTGGGGACCTCCTGTGAGTGGAATCACAGTATTTATCCTTTTGTGTCTGGCTTATTTCACTGAGCAAAACGTCCTCCAGGTCCATCCATGTTGTAGCAGGTGTCAGAATGCCCTTCCTTTTCAAGGCTCAATAATATTCCACTATATGGATGGACCACATTTTATTAATCCATTCATCTGCAGATGGAACTTGGGTTGCTTCCACCTTTTAGCTGTTGTGAACAATTCTGCTATGATCACGGGTGGGCAAATTATCTTTTTGAGACTCTGCTTTCAATTATTTTATGTATATGCCCAGAAGCAGAACTGCTGAATCACAGGGTAATTCAATTTTTAATTTTTTAAGGACTCACCATACTGCTTTCCATAGTGGTTGTACCATTTCACATTCTAGCCAGGAGTACACAAGGATTCCAATTTCTACTGAGGAACCAAACTTCTAATTGTATTTCAATTTTAATTTTTATAGCCACAAGTGGCTATTGGCTCTTGCATTAGATAGCAGAGGCTTAGAGAACAAAGATAAACTCCTTGCCAAGGCCAACAGGTCTATGTGCACTAGAGCCTGTTGGCCTCTCCGAGGCCTCTCAGCCTCAGACAGCAGCCATCCTAGTCTCCTTTCTGCCCCTCCCATACCCAGGCTCAGTCCTACCTCAGGACCTCTACATATGCTACTCTGCCTGGCTGGAGCACCCTATCCCTTATCCTCTCATGATTGGCTCCTTCTCATCCTTCAGGTCTCAATAGCTTAGAAGCACCTTCCCTGACCTCCCATTGCAAGTCACTCCCTCCTTCTCAAGCCATGTTCTAGCACATTATCTTGTTACGTTTTTGTCATAGCACTTGTCACTCCCAAAAATTATCTTGAATGCTTGTTGACTGTCTAGAGGGGAGCTGAGGGGGCAGGGGCAAGTCTGTGCCATTCACTGCACTGGCCCCTACAACAGTCACTCCTTTCACCAAGCAGGAGCTCAGGAGACACATGTCCAATTAGAGAGGAGGCAAAAGAAGGGGCTGTGGAGCAGCCCTAAGTGCCTAATTTTTAGCCAATAGCTCAAGAAATCCTGCAAGTACTCCCAGTTGCAGGAGCTCCACAAACACCCTGAAAACCATATGCAAAATTTGGAGCATCTATGCAACTGATGCATCTTCTGATTTTTTCCCCATGGATCCACAAAGAATTAAGAAGCTGTAACAGGTGCAGGATGAGGGTTAATCCACCAACATCTATGTAGAATTTTTAAGGTTCACATACCACCCATTAGCTCCTTACTTAATTCTAAAAAGACCCCACCCAGCAGAGAAGGGGATGAGTAATATGTCTATTTCACAGCAGCGAGAAGACTGGCTCGGTTGAGACACAGCAGGGCCCAAGCTGAAACCCTGACCTTTTGGCTCTAAATCTGATATTCCTGGGTCTGAAAAACGACATGACCATCCCCAGGGTACACGCAGTCCAGAGAGAGAAGTGACGCACATTCAGCTTTAGCGACGTGGCACCCACTGCCCCACAGGAACACCGTAAAGTCTTCTTTAAAGAACCAACCATAGTCTCAGTTCTCTTGTCTGTAAAATGGTGATAACAGTCCCTTAATTCCTTCTCGTAACTAAGTGAGATGATGTGGGTAAAGCACTGGATTCTTTGATAGACACATTGTGGGTGTGCTGTCAGTTAGCTACTGTGGGTATTATTATTTCTGTTGTCATCATTCTTAATGATCTGTCTGCAGAGACACGAGGGCTCAAAGTCAATGGCAGGAAGTGATAAATGAGGTCTGACAATTAAGTTTGCAAACTTGTTGCAATGATGTTGCTAGCCTTTTTTGATATCAGAGGGATTATTCATTATGCATTTGTACCAACTGGACAAATAGTTAACCAAGTTTACTATATGAAAGTGCTGAAAATACTGTGTGAAACAGTTAGACAAAAATGACCTCAACTTTTCACCAACAATTCTTGGCTCTTGCATCACAACAGACAATGCACCAGCTCACACAGCACTGTCTGTGAGGGAGTCTTTAGCCAGTAAACAAATAACTGTATTGGAACAACCTCCCTACTCACCTAATCTGGCCCCCAAAGACTTCTTTCCTTACCCAAAGATAAAGGTAATATGGAAAGGAAGACATTTTGATGACATTCAAGATATCAAGGGTAATACAACAACAGCTCTGATGGCCATTCCAGAAAAAGAGTTCCAAAATTGCTTTGAAGGGTGGACTAGGCACTGGCATCGGTGCATAGCTTCCCAAGGGGAGTACTTCGAAAGTGACCATAGTGATATTCAGCAATGCGGTATGTAGTACTTTTTCTAGGGTAAGCTCGTAAACTTAACTGTCAGACCTCATATATAAGGTAGACGACAGCAATCTAGGATCCACATAGACCCATCCTCTGGGAGGTCCCACGTGAGAGTAGGAAGGGGCCTATTTCATAGGCTGGGGCTACATCTGAGGGTCGGTCAGTCCTTAAGTTCATAAGAGGCATCAGCAAAGACCTAACAAAAACTTCCCAAACACATAAGCCTTCCAGTCTGGGCAAGGCTAAGAAAAAAGAGGCAACAACAGCAAACAGGCCAGAGGCTGACCACAAGGCTGTTGTATCTCATGCTGGAG